ATTCTTTCGGCTTACGCGTGCGACTGCACAACTCAGCCTCATAGACGTCTGCCTTCCCTCCAGGGCCGAACCTCTTCTCCAGTGCCATAAGTAAATCTTCATAGGAGTATCCTTCATCCAACTCCAGGACCAACTGCTGTGCATCTCCTCTTAAATTTGTGGCCAAATATTGCTTCTTCTCTTGTGGGGTCCAACCATTATTCTCAACACAGGTGGCAAAATAGGCCCTGTAATCTTTCCATGGTGCACTACCATCAAAGGTCTGTGTGGGCTTTATTCTTGTTCGAGTATTAGAACTCTTGGTAGACTCTATCAACTTCGAACACATGTTCGAACACATGTCAACCATCTTGGCCATTAGCATTGGGTTCGACTCCTCATCTACCTTCTTCATCGGCATATACTCTTCCTGCTCTCTGGTAGACTGTCTTGGTTTAGCTTCATGTAGGGGCTCTCTAGGCTGGGGTCTCAGTTCAGTATAGTCATCCATATTAGGGCAAGTAGCACTATTCGTGAGGTCATCTCGTTTCCTTTCCTCCCAATGGCCTAGATAGGAATCCCTCGTACCATAGTACTCCCCATCTCCTCTCTGCACCCCAGAGTAGTGTTCTGTACTCTTCTGTCTCTCTGCAGGGAGTAGTGGAGTAGGCCTTCCTGGCTCTCTCGATGGCTCATGGGAACCTGTCCTGTACTCCTCTGATACTGGCTCTCTGCTACCCCCCATCTTGGCATCTGGTGCCCATTCGCTTCCGAGATGTGATGCCAACTCTTTCCCACTGTATCCATCTTGTCTCTGTAGTGAGAGTTTCTTCGTATAAATTCCGGAGCACACTTCTCCATGGGCCTGTGAACTTACTCTACTCTTTTGCTCTGGCTCCAAGTTTGCAGTCACTGTATTTCCGCTACTCATCATTTGCTCCTTCTCCAATTTCTCAGGAGTCAAGTGACTGTCATCTTTAGCAGCAGGGAGGCGCTGAACTATATCCGACAGGAGGCCCTTGAACTCTTGTTGAGCCTCTCGATGGGTTGTATTCAGACTCTCTATCTGTCTCTGTATCTCTCCTTGACTCAAATGGACTTCTCTTCGAAGGCCTTCCTGCCCGGAGTACACTTCTCTTCTGAGGTATTCATACTGCTGTGCTTGGGCCTTCATCTGGCTGCTTAACGCAGACATCTGGAGTTGCTGACTATGTAACTCCTGTTCCAGGGGCATGGTAACCCCAGGAGATCTTCCCTCCAGCACAGTCGAAGTTAAAGGAAAGCCTCTCGATGGCGTCATCCCATACCCTACTCCTGGTACCATATAACCCGTCTTAGACCTTGCTCCTTCGGGATTTTCTTCCACTTCTCTTGTGGAATCTACTCCACACATCCCTGGCACTGTATCATCTAGCTCCATGTCCACTTGGGTGTAGTCCCCCTTGAAGAACACAGTGTTGTCCGCAGACTCCTCTTCCTGTTGTCCTCCTTCCATCCTGGAAACTATACCATCAGGCCCTTCTTCCTGTTTAGAAGCCATTTTCTTCTCTTAAGTCTTTGTTCCCCGTCAGCAAATAATCCCACCGCTGCCACCAATGTCGGACCTGGCCAAAATCTGGTAGTGTGGTTGTGGTCGGGTCACGAACAATTTTTATTATTTATTATGGGATTCTCACTGGTCTTATGTGGGCGCAGACCTGGTTTGGTGGTACTGCTTTCACTGAAAGGGGAGGTTGTTACACATATGCATACAGAATACAGATATACAGTTTTTATAATTTATTAACACTAATTTTTAACAACAAATAAAACACAAATGTCCATGTAATAATTAACTCTGAGTTGTCTTGTTGCTCTTCTCTTGTTTGCACTCTGCTCTACTTTTACTCTTCTTCACTCTGTTCAGGGGTTACTCTGCTTTACTCTTCTGTTCTCTACCCACATTTACTCTGCTTTAGTTTCACTCTGTTCAGCTCTTCTTACTCTTTATTCTGCTCTGGTTACTCTTTACTCCTTTCTGTTCTGCTCCGTTACTCTTTATTACTCATTTGTTCTGCTCTGCTTACTCTTTACTCCTTTCTGTTCTGGTTTACTCTGTTCTGCTCTCTTTATTCCGCTCTGCTCTGCTTACTCTTTACTCCTCTGTTCTGGTTACTCAGGATTACTCTTCTTCAGCCCGGGTAACTCTTCTTTACTCTTCACCGCTCTGCTCTACTCAGGGTTACTCTTCTTCAGCCTGGGTTACTCTTTACTCCTTTCTGTTCTGCTCTGCTTACTCTTTACTCCTCTCTGCTCTGGTTTACTCTGTTCTGCTCAGGTTACTCTTTACTCCTTTCTGTTTCTGCTCTGCTTACTCTTTACTCCTTTCTGTTCTGCTCTGCTTACTCTTTACTCCTCTCTGCTCTGGTTTACTCTGTTCTGCTCTCTTTATTGCGCTCTGCTCTGCTTACTCTCTATTCTGCTCTGGTCACTCTTTATTCCGCTCTGCTTACTCTTTACCATGTTCTGCTCTGCTTACTCTTTAATCTATTCTGCACTGCTTACTCTTTAATCGGCTCTGCTCTGCTTACTCTTTAATCTGCTCTGCTTACTCTTTATTCTGTTCTGCTCTGCTTACTCTTTATTCTGCTCTGCTTACTCAGGACTGCTCTTCTTCAGCCTGGGTTACTCTTCTTCAGCCTGGGTTACTCTTCTTTACTCCTATCTGCTCTGGTTTACTCTGTTCTGCTCAGGTTACTCTTTACTCCCTTCTGTTCTGCTCTGCTTACTCTTTACTCCTTTCTGTTCTGCTCTGCTTACTCTTTACTCCTCTCTGCTCTGGTTTACTCTGTTCTGCTCTCTTTATTCCGCTCTGCTCTGCTTACTCTCTATTCTCCTCTGGATACTCTTTATTCCGCTCTGCTTACTCTTTACCCTGGTCTGCTCTGCTTACTCTTTACTCTTTAATCTGCTCTGCTCTGCTTACTCTTTAATCTGCTCTGCTTACTCTTTAATCTGCTCTGCTTACTCTTTACTCTATTCTGCACTGCTTACTCTTTAATCTGCTCTGCTCTGCTTACTCTTCAATCTGCTCTGCTTACTCTTTAATCTGCTCTGCTTACTCTTTATTCTGTTCTGCTCTGCTTACTCATTATTCTGCTCTGCTTACTCTTTATTCTGTTCTGCTCTGCTTACTCATTATTCTGCTCTGCTTACTCAGGACTGCTCTTCTTCAGCCTGGGTTACTCTTCTTTACTCCTCTTGGCGAATAGATTGGGAATATCGATCAAATTCTGAGATTAGACCCAACTATCTGCCCTCAAAGGAAATAAAGCGATCACTTCAGTTGGAATCCCTGTTGTTCCAAAAAACACTCCTCCAGACGAGTAATTCGGGAATATCAATCAAATTCTGAGATTAGACCCAAATTACTAGTCACATAATAAATCTGCTACCCCACAAATACACTTGCTCTTGGTGGGACTCAAGAATGTCAATCAAATTCTGAGATTAGACTTGAGCCACATGTGAACCGGAAGTCATACAAGATGGCGGACTTGCTGAGGATTGTTGGAAAATGATGATGCAATCACAAAATAGCCACGCTGATTAGCAAAGAATCATCAAGTAAAACCCTCTAATTCTACCTCAGAATGAATTATAAACTCAAATCAACACTCACAAATTCTCCAAAACGTCTTCTAGGCGCCTCTAGACTGCAACTTCTCTGGCAGTACTCCCTGGTCAACACATCAGGCCAAACGGCTCTATATCCAAGTGTCACTGTTGATTCCCGTCACAAAACAGTGAAAATACTCCATAAACTCCAATATCCACGATTAAACTCCAAAATTCCTCACATCGAGTAATACTCCATCATAAAATCACCTTTCCGCCATCAACATCATGAGCCAGCTTCTAAAAATGACACTACAGGTCCTTACTCTGCGACTTCTTGAGCTAGACTAACATCAGGTGTTCAGATCATGTGCTATCTCAACCCACTAATGAGATGCATAGGGAAGCTATCTGATTGGCTACAGCTGGACTGAGCTGGTGTGTTTACTCCATTTGGTGATGCATTGTGGGAAATCACTATAGCAATGTCAATCAAGTAGCCTCTAATTGCTGATGACTCATAACCATGTGGCCTATTTCTCCTACAGGTTGACCAATTCTAGGGCAAGGGTCCCCGCACAAGCAAAGAGTAAGGTTACTCTTACTCTTACTCCCAGCTTACTCCTTGAGTTTATGGTTACTCCTAAGTTACTCCTTGATCGTTGCACTTACTCTTAGTTTACTCCTTAACTTACTAGCAGCACATGAAGTGTTAATTATGAATAAAATAGTCTAAAAAAATAACAAAAAGTGGGGAATTTCTAAATTTCCCACAGTATGTAATACAACAGTTATGTCCGTATCATTGAATATCTGCCTTCGGTCTGTCGTAATATAACCCTCGCAAGCTCGGGCTATATTGGTGACAGACCTTAGGCATATATTAAATGATAGGGACATAACTGCTAAATATGGCTAAATGCATTATATTATATTATTATATTGTAACATGTTTGGTGTCCAAAAATTGTTGAAATACCAATTTTTCTCAATTGCTGAATTAGTTTGTATTTGGAAGATTTCAATAATTTGTCTGCACTTATAAAAGTGATTTCAATCTGCACTTTTGGGAATCCTTCGGTAAAGCTGATCAATGCCCCTTCCCATAGGTTTTAGGCCGATGTAAAGGTGGCAGTAATAATACTGATCTTACTCAAAATACAGAATGATTGATTACACTCCCATCTTTATTTAAAAATTATTTCTATTGCCCTTTAGCCTTTGCCTCGTTTTTACCTCATCACTTATTGTTCATAAATAATTCCAAGAGATTAGGTTTAAATAATATTTGTAGTGCCACAAACCTAGAATTACATGCACTGTGTAGTCATGGAATACATTGAACATTCACGAGAGATATTTGCTCAGCGAAATCCTGTGTGTTCTGACCCGTAAAATAAATCAGATTTTCTTCTTTCTTTTAGTTCTATCTGGAGCCAAAGTCCAAAGTGACAGATGCAATGGAGGCAGCTGGCCTTAAGGTTGAGGACTTCTTTACGCTGAATCATGGAGAGTCTTGTATAGTTGGCGATAATTATGACAATGTGGATGATTAGAGATGCATGACGATGATGAGAGAAACTCATATCTCTGATGGAAATGCTTACATTGAACATTGTCAAAGTATGAGTTCATTCATCAATGCATATTATGCATTTTATAGCCTATGGGAAGGAGTTATAGAGAAACAAAATTTGTAGAAAATATGCCATAATATGGGAAAAAAATGATGTACTATTGGATTCTACAGAGCGGATGGACATAACGGTTAAAGTAACGTGTTTGTATATTATACTGCCTTACTGTAACTTGGATAATAGAATATGATGAATGTGATAAACATTGTGCAGTATCCGAGACACATTTTGCGTGCAGTGGATTTTGTATGGCTTTGCAGTATGATGAGAGCCCATACTGTCACATAAACAGATTATCAGATCATTTTGAGTCATACGGATATGCCGCTGATAAACAATATAAGCCGAATAGGAGGCTGATAAATGATTTTCTGAAAAATATGACAGAGATCTCCATAATATAAGAAATATCACTGGGTGTTATTGTATAGATAACACAATAATCGTTGGATAAATATGTATATTATACTATGTGTTATTTTATCCATAGTAGGAATTGTTAACTTATGATGTCATATTAAGTATGCCATTTGTCTCATAAAAGAATTATAGAGATGCACACAACCATGTATAATCTATTGTTTTACACAACTCAGAGATTTTGCAACCTCACTTACAATATAGCCCACCTATATAAAATCTGAGGTCATATATTCGCCATAAATTATTGAATTAAGATAATTGTTAAGGTTCTAATATATGATAATTAAATATATGCCATTGTAACATATAATACATTTACTGGTCAGTATTGATATTTACCCAAACATACCTCATTATACAACAGTTAATCAATCAATTTAGTTAAAATGAGTTCACATATCAAGTTTAAGTTATAACATGTATAAATGTACGATTTAAGATAATCTAAATATTATTCAGGAGTTTTACTAAAAGTTTTTATAACTTACATTCATCTTTTAATTTATATGTTACGGATATAAATGGGTAATTATTGTATTTTTGTATGCATCTATCTACAGTATACACTTACTATGGCTTATAATAATGACCACTACCTGTAATTGACTTTAAATGTACAATGTATATACAGTAGATGAACATCTCCTGACCCCATGGCTCCAAGATCCTGAAGGAGGAAGAGTTCTGTAGCCCCGGGTTTGGAGGATGAGAAATGAACTATTTTAGATAACTAGGGTAATCTAATTAAATTACTGCTTGGAAAGGACTTTACAATGATACTAAATGTGAAAAAGTTTTTAATGAAACATTTTATTTTTAAATGGAACATGTTCAGACTGTATTTTACTTACATAATTCAGATTGAATTTATTGTACATGTATAACATTGTATCTTACTGATATGTGGTATTTTTTACCTTCAAATTTATGTTCCTGTCCTACAACGATATCTCAAGAACCTTTGAAAGATTTCTCCATGGTTTCAGAAACTAGATCAAATGATCTATTGTTACAGTACAGTAAATCCTTTCTGAAATGAGTTGGGACCAGCTATGTTGATTCAGGGGAGATAAAGCAAGGAGCTTCTAAGCAAATGTAGGACGCTTGGTCACAATAAGTTTATTCAGAGGATAATTTCTGAACATGATAAATATGTAAAAAAAAATTTTTTATCCTCTGGTGAATATAATTGTTATTATATGTTATATATGTTATACAAGTTAGGAAAATGTATGTGAAATATATATGCAGATGTTCCATAGATATGGATTTTTAATGGTTCATTTTGTGGAATTTTGGAATAGTGTTGTCGCAATTAATCGATTTATTATGGCAAATTGCGATAACACTGAGTATGGAATAAATAAAGGTAAATTTTTATGAGAATTGATACTGATTTTAACATGCTGTATCTAACAGTTTAATAAAAATGTCATGTTGAATGTACATCAGTGTGAGTGGTGCAAACAAAATGCTCTATAAATTAGGCATTTGAGGGATAGAATTTGATCATGGATGGAAGACCTTTACTTTTTCAGAAAAAAACATTCTGGTTATTAAAACAGAAATATCCTGTTTTGGTTATAAGTAGCCTTGCCCAAGTCAAAAAACAACAGGGAAAATAATGTATCAATGCATAATTCAAAGATGAACCTATCTTAAGTAAAGACATGGGCTTTCAAGTAAGTAGCCTTGCCCAAGTCGGTATTTTTTTTACTTATCTGATCTTGAATTATTACAATAGAAATCAAGATACATAAAAGAGACCGACTTGGGCAAGGCTAGGGTATAAGGTGAGATGTCCATCCAAGAATTAAGTTCAAACACTAAAACATTATGCACAATGTAAGGATTTATGTATGATTCCATTATATACAATTTATGCTCAGGCATAACAGTATATTCATTTTACAATAAATGTAAAGTCTCTGGATCCTGCCCCCTATAATGTAAAAGGGTCACATATTTTTAAAGCTACCTGACTTTATCAGTGTATGCTCATGATATTCATTGAGTGACATGCAGAGAATAACAGGATAAGTACATGTACAGTGAATGTTTCATCATAATGGTTTTATAAATTGAAATCATTCTGCCAAATGAAGATATGTTCCATCCTGTTCCACCAACTGTATGTGTACATATATGAAAACATGTATATCATTTAAATTAAGAGGCGGTGAGTTCAAGTCTCCCTCATTAGCACAATCAACAAAATGCAATTTTATACAACTGTTGGCACAATAAAAAGGTAGCATAGAATGTATACCTCTCATATTTAGACCCATATCACTTTATAATTTGAAAAGCGTGTTTTAATAATTGATCTGCAGGACACGCACACTATTTCGCCTATCAGGCATTATTTATAATAGAAATAAAATGCATGAGTTTTATTAGCTGACTAGAATAAAAAAGTTTGAAAGATACAAATTGTTATGTAACGTTGGTTGCACTTAGTCACTACATTCAGTCTATTCATGGGCTTTCAACAGTTGTCAGAATGGTTGTGTCAATCATGAGGTTGTACCCAGTCTATGAGCACCATCTATTATTACAGTAGTTATTACCAGCCATTGCACCCTACCTATCATCAGTATGGTTGTACCATGTAATTGCCCTCAACCTATTGTCACAGTGGTTGTACCATGTAATTGCCCTCAACCTATTGTCACAGTTGTTGTACCATGTAATTGCCCTCAACCTATTGTCACAGTGGTTGTAACATGTAATTGCCCTCAACCTATTGTCACAGTGGTTGTACCATGTAATTGCCCTCAACCTATTGTCACAGTGGTTGTACCATGTAATTGCCCTCAACCTATTGTCACAGTGGTTGTAACATGTAATTGCCCTCAACCTATTGTCACAGTGGTTGTACCATGTAATTGCCCTCAACCTATTGTCACAGTTGTTGTACCATGTAATTGCCCTCAACCTATTGTCACAGTGGTTGTAACATGTAATTGCCCTCAACCTATTGTCACAGTGGTTGTACCATGTAATTGCCCTCAACCTATTGTCACAGTGGTTGTAACATGAAATTGCCCTCAACCTATTGTCACAGTGGTTGTACCATGTAATTGCCCTCAACCTATTGTCACAGTGGTTGTACCATGTAATTGCCACCTATTGTCACAGTGGTTGTACCATGTAATTGCCCCAAACCTATTGTCACAATGGTTGCACCTAGTATTTTCACCCTACTATTGTCAAAGTGTACCTAGTAATTGTGCCTTACTTACCGTCAGACTGGTTGCAGCTAGTAATTGCACCGTACCTGTTATCAGAGTGGTTATACTTAGTAATTGACACCAACCTATTGTCACAGTAGTTGCACCCAGTAAATGCGCCCTACCTATTGTCACAGTGGTTGTTCCAGTAAATGCGCCCTACCTATTGTCACAGTGGTTGCACTCAGTAATTGCGCCCTACCTATTGTCACAGTGGTTGCACCCAGTAATTGCGCTCTACTTATTGTCAGAGTGGTTGCACCTATAGTAATTGTGCCTACCTGTTGTCACAGTGGTTGTACCTTACTCAAGTCTCTAGCCAAACTGTGGCCAACGAAAGGTAAGTTGTACTTACTCGAGTCTCCAGCCAATACGTACAGTGGCCTTAGAAGAAGGTAAAGTTGTACCATGCAAATCAGTGCATTTTTTGGTAAACTAGAACTCTTGCTAAATTGACAATGCAGATTTTGCATTGATTTGGAGAATGCATCGAGGAGAATGCATATTGAGAAAGAAAGGCAAGATCACACCGTATAAATATTTCCTAAAAATATAAATTTATTTTTAAATTATTTTTTACAATTCATTTTTGAATAAAAAGAAAGAAAATTGCAGGTCCTTTTAAAGTTTGTTCTTTGACTTTGTTTTACATACCGGTGTTTCTTGTCATGTTCCAAAGCGGAAGTGAAAAATAAAATAAGGAAGTTCAAAACTTTTTATGAAGTTCGCTACTTATCGTGGTTTTATGGTGTTATATGATCATGCAAATGATATACTATTGATAGGAGGGTGACATATTTATAAAAATGTATTACGAGATGCTACAAATACCATGATGGAGACTGAAAATACACGAAAGAAAGGTAAATTATTTGTTTTCTTTTTTCTTTTCCCAAAAATCAAAATATTTTCAAATTCAATAGGCATAGGATTCTTCGAATGTTTTTTATTTAAATGGTTTCAGTTTTCACCTGACATGACTCATTACTTGACAAATGAAATTCCAAATCACTGAATTGAAGAAATGTGCGAACACTGACTGTAACATATTTCCTTTCTATTTCTAAAGTAACCTAGGTCTAGTTCAAAATAGTTCTAAACAAACCAAATTGTGGTGTAAAATGTGTCTACTATGACAATAAAAAGATTGCAGATGTATAAAGATGCTTCTTCTATACTTTTTTATGTATATACTAAGGACTAATTTTTTGTTGAACCGGTTGCTTGAGTACAGCAACGCTTGATGTACTGATATTCTGAAGTATTTATAGCTATTTGTTGTTTTTACTGTTAATCATCAACCTCATTTACTAACAGTAAACCAGAAGTGCACTCGATTGTAAAAAAACTTCATTTAAATGAAATAAGTTTGAGTACAGAAAAGAGAAGTATCACCGCCATACTAAAGTCCTCACAATAATTACTCAATGGGTTGTTTTGATGCAGGTAAGCTGTGTAAAGTTGTATGGTTAAATAAGCAAGGATAGTCTGATTGATGCAACAGGTATGACAAAGGAAACTATAATTATTTACAATGTTCACTATACAATGCTGTAAAATGTGCAACATACATAATGCTCAGACATGATAGCAGTTCTGGCGTCCGTTGACATCAATAGATTTTGACTTCTTTAAATGATGAGGTGGGAATTTTCTTCAAACCTTTCATGAAATTTATGCAGTAAATTTATGTATACATTTAGGATTTGTACCCAAGGAATAAAACAGGTTGGCAAATCCTCAGTAGCAAATAGGTTTGAGATGATACTAAAAATTGATATTCAAATATTCCATAGAGTGTAAATGTATAATTACCATTTTCTCCATATTTTTATTCGTCGACATGGCTTATGATTATGTAGCAAATGTACATAAGAGACAACAACAATATATCGTGTACAGATAAAAAGTCAATATTTATTCCATTGCTGCAAAATATGTATTTCTAATCGAACCAACTTTATTACTTCTGGTTCACTGTCAGTTCATTTCCGATTGTTTTAATTGATATTGAAGGGGAGCTAGCTGGCAATATATGATAATTTACTATCAATTTCAGCTCTAGTTTACAAGTACAGCCCATTTATTATATCATTTACTTGTAATCAATGATTAATTTTTTTCAGGCCTGAAAAAGCCACCAACACCACCGAAGCCTACAATTCCACCAAAGCCAGGGTAATTATATTTCAGTCATACTGTTTTATACTTTACTAGGAGTAAATTATTTAATCATAAGAGTGAAACGTTTGTACAGATCGGTCTTAATCAGTGTATTTCTCCCAGACGTTGTATGAAATAGCTTGCTGAATCAAGATATATAAAGGAAATCAACTATCAAGAATCATATTTCTCAAGAAAGACTATCCCCTATGGATTTCAGATAGCAAATCACTAACATACAATGCTATATGGTCAAAATATCAGTCCCATAGCTAAGGGGTGTGAGCGCCCCCCTGGCCATAAAATCAAAACGATGATGTTATAACCATTCTGAGCTTTTTCATGTAATTTTGGGCCAAAATGGTCAACTATGAACCTCCCCAAAAATTTCTTAAAAGTGAACCACCCCTTGGCAAAAGCTGGCTATGGGTCTGAACCTGTCAATATTTCGTCCTTTAATTGTTCTTTAATTGTGCAAAAGTATATCTAACAATGTCTAGCATCCAGTTGCTTCCATGCAGCACAGAACCCCTTATGATATATTGTCTAGTACATAACAATTACATATCAACATTTACACAGTTTAACATAACTGTGCCTAAAATAAATAATCTTGAAAATGTTTGGCTTATGGTTTCTTTGAGGTTCATTGACAGGCATATATTGGATTAATTATTTCATGTTATAATATCCAATACTTTGGGTTTCAAATCTGATTTTCTCACATGATCCGTTAAAACTGAAAAATGAGGGGAAATTGTACAATTTTCAAATCATAATAACTTGCTGGATTACACATATTATATCCAATACAAGTGGCGTTATGTAGCACCAATATTCAGCAGAGATTATTACAAAGTAGTTGACTTACATTTGAAATTATTTGACTGTCGAGTTAAATCACAATCAGGTAAATGTGCTATCTACAGTTATTAATAATGTCACAATAAAACTCTTATCTGCTGCTTGTATTGGAAAGTTCAAGGCAAAGGGGTGAAGGTATTGCAATGTCCGTATACTAGATTAATACCAATACAGGGGTACTATTTTCACACTTGCGTCAAGTATGTTTAATTTCATTTAATTTAAAATTCATATCAAGTGTATAAAGACCTTATTAAATGTAAATGTTGGTTTTACCCTTCCGAGATTATTATACATATGTATATTAGATAAACTCTTAGACAAATAACGTATTGTTCCTAAATCCAGGATTTAACTGGTATCATTTAACATAGAAGTGTATCAAATACAATTAAACAACATGAACACAATATAAATGTTTTTGCTTGTAAATAGTGGAAATGCATTAAAGGTTTTTTTGCAAGGGTTTAGTCGGGTTCAGGTATTTTAAGGATAAATTGTCAGTTCTAGATATTTGAGGCATCATATCTGATAAATGCGTTTCAATGAATTTTGTTTTGATCTGATTCATAGTCCCAAAAGAACAATTTGGGGGGAGGCTATGTTATGTGTCATGAGATTCTTAAAATCAGCCATTTGATTTAAACATTATGTGGTAACTTGACCAAATCTGCCTCCCATTTTTTACAAATAGAAATGCTTATATACTGAGATACTCAAATCCCATTTTTATTGTTTTGACTGTGAATTAAATCTCATCTGTCTACTCTTGTGAGGCTTTTGCCATTTGTACCTTATACAAGTGCAAGGGCCGAAAATTATCTGCAAAAGTATGTTACAAGCCCAAACATTTGTTTATCTATAGTTTGGTTTGTTTGAGTGGAGATAAAAATTGGATATCACATATCAGGTATATCCATAGTAGATCAAATTATACATAACAAATAAACAGAAATGTAGTACAGTATCAGATCTAACAAACAAACAGTGTCTCAGTTTTGCAATATTTTGAACTCATATCATTTCTTGTCATGTCTATTCTATAAAACACTGTATTATGCATAATTTATTTAAAGGAACCTAAAAATAATAATGTGTTTATTTCTCTATAAATGTGATTACAACATTATTATTTTGGAGAATTTACTTTGTGGCTAATTATACAAATTGAATTTGAGATTGTAAAGAATGCATTTGTATACATGTTGCTTGCAATTTTGTCATCCCCCCTCCTATGCAATAGATCTGATTCTGCCTCTAATTCATGTAGTTATATTTCACAGTAGATGTTGTTTCATGTTCATTTGTTTTCATCAAAACAGTGTGTCGCACATATTTATGACTGGTATAGGCAGCGATATGTTAGAGTGATGCCCTCAAAAGGAAAGTAAAAATATATTTATACAAAATCTATATATACACTGTATATGCCATGAATAAACCATGTTATATAAATCATTAAAATACATTTATGTTTCTTTTTGATGAATTGTGGACTCTTGGACTATGAATATGTATTTTGCAAAGTGCTAGGAACTTTAAAACATACCTGTATAATATCCTCGTAGAATATAGCATGTAGACGAAAATAACAGCAAAATACATTAACAGAAAGACAGGTAAGTTTATATTGAAATAGCAAAAGATTTATTTCATGAATTTAGATATTACAGTATATACAACTGTGTTTGATATAAGACTATTTAAAAATTGAGCCTGATTGACAAGATCTAATGTAATCCATGAACTCACTATTGGCTGGGTTACTTCAGTATTATTTTATGCTTGATAACTATTTTCTTTGATTAAGACATTTTATCGCATAACCTGACTCTTGACTTGATGATTGGTGATCATACATGTTCTAATTTTGTTTGGCTATGATATTTTCATTCAAAGATAACATTTGATTTTGAGCTGTTTTTTATTCAATGATGACTAATCTTACACAAACTGACAAATAGTCACCAGGTTCTTTTTGCGCTTGCCACAAAAGAACATTTTTAACCTGGATTTTGTTCAATTTTACGGTTTTTGCTTGTGGGGTATCGGCTTCAACCAGGTGAATTGACAGTATTCAAAACTTCAAAGTTTACAATTTAGATTTCAGGTCATCTCTATCTTATCTCGAGGATATTGGCCTAAATATAAAATGGCTTCATGTTTGTCTGTAGGGCTTCTTAGAACTCATTGTGAAATCTTCATCACACTTTTCCTGTATTTTACTGTTTTTGTTTTCTTTTAATCTTATATTTTTGCTCTTTGTATGATACATGAAATTCACTTTCATAATAAACTTTCCCCTGATATTTAGTATGACGAGCAATTTTGAAGTTTTATATTGCATTTTTCATATTTACATGTATAATACTCACCCTTATTCTTTTTGTTACACATAAAGAATTGTTTTGAATTAAGGTAATCCAATAATACATGTATCTTTTAAAAAAGAAAGAATTGACACTTTTCATTTTCCATCATTAATTATTCTTTAAATATCATGCACTTATTCATAATGGTCACTATTTCAGAGAAATATGTTAGCTAACTGAAAACATTGAAATATTTTTTACAATTTGTTAATTAATGAATTGAATATGTCTAGATAATTAGGTACAGCCTATCCCAGTTGATTTTTTACTTAAATCCCCTGTAGCATTCAGTAGTTTATGATGGTATTTATTAGATCTAAACAGGTAGCATGTTATGATTTGTTGTATATTTGAATGATGGATATGTACCATTCATTAGTGTTATAGGTTTTATTAGATGTCATAGATCAAAAATTGTACATGTAATGTAAACTCTCACTTTGACAATATTATTCCACCATAGCTTAATTGAAATGACATTCACATAAAAAAGGTTATAAGTAACCTAGTTCTGTTGAAATGACACATGTGTGGTATCAGTAACTTAGTTGAAATGACATATGTACAGGGTGATATCAGTAACTTAGTTGAAATGAGGTTCACATATATGGGGTGATATCAGTAACTTAGTTGAAATGAGGTTCAAATATGCTGGGTGATATCACTAACTTAGTTGAAATGAGGTCCACATATACATGGTGATATCAGTAACTTAGTTGAAATGAGGTTCACATATACGGGGTGACATCAGTAACTTAGTTGAAACGAGGTTCACATATACGAGGTGATATCAGTAACCTAATTGAAATGAGGTTCACATATAGGGGGTGATATCAGTAAATTAGTTGAAATGAGGTTCACATGAACTGGGTGACATCAGTAACTTAGTTGAAATGAGGTTCACATATACGAGGTCACGGTGTATAACCCAAACGCTCCTACATGCACGACGGAGCGTTACATTTACGCGGAAACGCTCCGGAGCGAAATAAAATGGCGGCTAATGAAGATTCTACTATGACCGTAATATTGTTTCTCTCGTTTCTCTTACATATCATATGTCATGGTGAAATATTATGTACCATTCGATGAACAATACCGTGAGCAAAGATCTTATTTATTCAACTTTTGGTGGTAAACTGTTATTTGCTTGATCAAAGCTCCGTAGTGTAGATCGAACGAATCTGAAGATGACGATTTGACCACAAATTACGAATTAAACTAGTATTTCTATGAAAACGTTAATCTTTCTGTTTAAGCAGTAGATCATAAACTCGTATATTCTCATTTCCTAAAATCCCAGTCCAAATCCATTACTTGTTCTCGAGAAATCGCTTGTTTTCCTCGTAACGCTCTGTCGATTTAGACCACAATTTTAGAAACGCTCTTACCATTTTGTTTTAATATCATTTTCAGATTATTAGAGAAGAGTTCCGAATCGAATCTATCTCTCAAATACGTGTTGTAGTTGTTAGGCAAATTGAAACATCTGAACCTGGTGGTGCTAAACGTGCAACTAGCTGATTAAAGCCTATACATTAGATGATGTCATGCCTACATATGTGCTAAATCATAAAACTATAGAAAAAAACGAAAAGTTATATGTGAATTAATCTTTCTTCTATTGATGCCAAGGGGTATAATAGATCTTTTCTTTCTCTTCCTGAAAAGGAAAGGCAAGCTATATATTTCCTTAACTGATCTAGACCACCGGAGCGTTTCCAATTCACTGTGTTAACCAGATCGGAGCGTTTCTTGAATATGAGAATGTCATCATTTTTAAGACTGGATTTTCGGTCATCAAATCACTATTACGATAATGTATGGTGCGTTGAAGCATTGGAATTTGACTAAAATATACGTTGGTGCTCTAATCTTGGCTCAACTAATCACAAGTATCGACAAAAGGGGTTTTGACCGGTAGAATGACAAATGCGTTTTTGAATTTTGATAACTATACTGCTTCGTACAGCTCTTCCGAATTGCTTCAAACGTCAACAGCCAGCCACGTACAACATGAATATCACACCCATCGAATGGTATACTCGAAATATGTAACTCATACCTCTTATTCCCATTATTGGGGAAATTGTCAGACGGCTCATCATTCCCGCCAGACAGTTTTTCTACTCCGGAGCGTTTCTTTGTTTAATTTCAGTAATGGAACGCTCCGTCGTGCATGTAGGAGCGTTTGGGTTATACACCGTGGAGGTGATATCAGTAACCTAATTGAAATGAGGTTCACATATACAGGGTGATATCACTAACTTAGTTGAAATGAGGTTCACATATACAAGGTGATATCAATAACTTAGTTGAAATGAGGTTCACATAAACTGGGTGATATCAGTAACTTAGTTGAAATGAGGTTCACATATGCTGGGTGATATCAATAACTTAGTTGAAATGACATATGTACAGGGTGATATCAGTAAATTAGTTGAAATGAGGTTCACATGAACTGGGTGATATCAATAACTTAGTTGAAATGAGGTTCACATATGCTGGGTGATATCAATAACTTAGTTGAAATGACATATGTACAGGGTGATATCAGTAACTTAGTTGAAATGAGGTTCATATACTGGGTGATATCAGTAACTTAGTTGAAATGAGGTTCACATATACAGGGTGATATCAATAACTTAGTTGAAATGAGGTTCACATGAACTGGGTGATATCAATAACTTAGTTGAAATGATGTTCACATATACTGGGTGATATCAATAACTTAGTTAAAATGAGGTTCACATATGCTGGGTGATATCAATAACTTAGTTGAAATGAGGTTCACATGTACTGGGTGATATCAGTAACTTAGTTGAAATGAGGTTCATATATACTGGGTGATATCAGTAACTTAGTTGAAATGAGGTTCACATATACAGGGTGATATCAATAACTTAGTTGAAATGAGGTTCACATGAACTGGGTGATATCAATAACTTAGTTGAAATGATGTTCACATATACTGGGTGATATTAATAACTTAGTTGAAATGAGGTTCACATATGCTGGGTGATATCAATAACTTAGTTGAAATGAGGTTCACATGTACTGGGTGATATCAGTAACTTAGTTGAAATGAGGTTCATATATACTGGGTGATATCAGTAACTTAGTTGAAATGAGGTTCACATATACAGGGTGATATCAGTAACTTAGTTGAAATGAGGTTCACATATACAAGGTGATATCATTAGCTTAGTTGAAATGAGGTTCACATGTACAGGGTGATATCATTAGCTTAGTTGAAATGAGGTTCACATATACAAGGTGATATCAATAACTTAGTTGAAATGAGGTTCATATATACAGGGTGATATCAGTAACTTAGTTGAAATGAGGTTCACATATACAGGGCGATATCAGTAAGTTAGTTGAAATGGGGCTCACATATACAGGGTGATATCAGTAACTTAGTTGAAATGAGGTTCACATATACAGGGTGATATCAGTAGCTTAGTTGAAATGACATTCATAAATGAATCTGATACCAGTATCACATGATTTTTCTTGAAATCATTTTACCTTATTGCCATACAAAATACTAGAGGAATAGTGCATATTCAGTTATTGTGTTTGAAAATACTACTACTCAGGAAGTATACAAGTGATCTACTCTTGATCATATTACATCGCATCAAGTTTGAGAGCTTATTTGACATTCTATTAATTCATGTTATCTTTGAATGACATTTTCAAGGACAGATGTTAAAGTAATGTTACTTCTTCCTGACTCTCACCAGGAAAGGTTGAGAGTGTGATGGAAAGGGTTTAAGTAAAGTGGTACTATTTATCTTCTACATTTTACAGGATATAATTGTGAACATTGTGACAAGTTCACATGGCTAGTCAATGGTTTGTGGCTAGAGCCTAAAAGACTCACAAAAGCATGGCATGTGACATGTATGCACATGGCTGCCTGATTCATATTTTTCAATGATTGATAAAATATCTTTTTGATGTTGTTTTTATCTCCAAGTTGAATTTTAAAAAATTTGAAAAGTAGTTTGAAAAATACTAACAACCCTCTATTTTTATCGGATCTATAAGATAAAAATATCATCCACTGGTTTTGAATTATTTTTGTTTCCTCACTTAATATATTATTATCTACTTGTGGATAAAAACCATATACATGTACCATACCGTGTACACGTACCATGTGATAAATGAAATGAGATATTTAGACAATTAAAAAAATCATCAATACCTATTACTGCAGGGCATCAAATTAAACACATACATAATCATATAATTACTTTCCCATCTATTTCATATTTGCCATCCATATTGAAGTAAAACAATTTTTATTTAACTTGATCAAAATCCGCAATGAGGATGTACATGTTCGAACACACATTAAGATTTCTTAAAGGTAACAGAAGTTAATAACAGAAGTTACTAAAACGCTATGTGACGCATAAATCTAAACAATACAAGAATACAAAACATGTACTTCTAAATCTAATTGAAGGCTCTACTGTGAACTGAGTTACAGCAATTGTGTGGTTTATAACAAGGAAGACATGAAATCCAGATGACTTTGCACTAGTATTAAACCACAGAAACATAAAACAGCTAGCTGCGAGTGATGACTCATCGTCATTAAAGAACTTCTATTTACTAACAACTCGTTATTGTGTTAAAAGATTTAAAAAGATATTCAGAAATATTTATTTCCTCATCATGTGGAGCAATGGGAAGACATATACTCTGGGAAGATTTAATTATTTAGAAGGAATATGTCCAGAGGATGAAATGAGGACCATGACAGTGTCTAGGCTACCCTACTCTAAGCTTAGGTACTCAATGCATCTCCTGGAACTTTAAATACACCTCGTGGAACTTTTAATGCATCTGCCCTATGGTCTTATGGCTCAGAATACTTTTAGAATTGAATTCTACTAATTGCACACATTGAATTAAGTCAAAAAAGAAGTTGTGCCAAATGTCCAAAACCAGATAGAAATAGCATTGTTGATATTGGATATCTTTTCTAGCTAATAAGATAAAATTATAAAAGTCTATCATAATTTGAAAAATAAACATTCACTTCACCTTTTTCATTATATAATTTTTGTATGTTCTAGGGAATCTGGAGAAAAGCCCAAGCCAGCGTTACCCAAAAAACCACCAGTTGCTCATGTGAAGCCATTTACAGCAAGAAATGTGGAATCCCCACCAGTGATTGCAGTCAAACCCCTTAAAGACCCACCAGCCACCAATTCACATCAGGAACAAGAAGGATTTGCTGCTAAAGATGATGGTAGGCTACTAATATACTTAATTGCATGTGTATCAATTCATAGCACATGGATAAATAGTAGGTTTATGAAAAATAATAATTTTATTAAAAGAAACTGCATGGCTTAGTTTTACTAATATGTTAAAATTTACTTGGTTATGGATAATGTCTAATGTAGCATTTATTTTATTTTTAGATATATCGACAAAAACAATGATATTAAAGATAAATGTAAAATTTTTAATTTTAACAAACATTTAACGAACATATTTAAAACTCTTCCTTCTGTTGCTTTTTCTTTGCAATGTTGGTTTAGATTTTGGGATGTCCAAGCTTGCTAAAATGTTGGTGTTGGGTAAAAAAAAAGTATTAGTCAAACTCAGTCCACCAAAAACTGACAATTTTAAATTTGGCTCATGGGCATAAGACATATGCATGGTTTTTACTGGCTCGATCTATTATTTGTTGTTTATTTTTGTTTATTTTTCTAAAATCTCATTGTAATGCTTTAGTCTTGCTTTTTTGTTGCATGGCAATTTATTTTACCATAATTTTACTGCTCATCAAATTTATTTGCTTCTAATAGAATATGTTAAATATCCCAAAGTCTAGTCCTGTCTCTCAATGGAGGGTTTTCTCAGATCCCAAGCTCATTGAAGATATAAACACTGGGGCATCTGGGAACAGATCCTCCCTTGTCCTGTGAAGTGATCATTTTTATTGCGAAATTCAACCTAAGGCAAAACAAGAGAACCACAATGAATATAATGTATGTCACGCAGACATGGATAATGAAGTCATGATTGTGGGATTGGCTCTTTTATTTAAACTAATCCTTAGGGCTTGAAATCAAAGTTGCATACGCATGTAGCTTGTCACATGACTGAAAATGAAAATTGACTGTTTTCGAAATTATGTAAAGTGGTATTTTGTATCCGTTTTTAATTATCACCTAAGGTTGAAATTCTCAAGAAATTCTATGTTCATTCCAAACCTTGTCCTACATTGAATCCTCCTTTCTTTAGCACCACCCCCAGGCAAGTCCCCACCCCCCAGACCCAGGGTACCTCCAAACGTCTGCTGGGGTCCACCGAAAGTCACCAAGAAGATTATGCTACAGAGCATGAGCCACAATCTCCGACCAAGAGCAGGTTCAAGCGACAACTTTGACTTAAACACCACAAATAGTGATGTCACAATAGAAGGTGCAGAAAAGAGAAGTTACAGCACATCTTCAGTAGAAAGTGAGTCACATATTGATCAGTTATTGGACAAGCCCTCTGAGATTGAGGAAAAACATGGAGAAGAGGATTTTGAAAGTTATAGCCCTCAAGTATATGACAGTGATGAGATTAATAGAACAAGTAAAACTGGTTCAAAACCTAAGCCTCAACCTCGAAAACGATCTTTGATTAATAAGCATTTGGATAAAACTCATGATTTTTCCTCAGTTCCACCTTTGCCTGTAAAAGAGATAAAATCATTCCGGATTCACCAAGATGGTTTAGTTAGGGAGGCTTCGTCTATAAGGAGTCGTCATGGATTATTTGCATCACCTTCATGTGAGTCTGATTCCAGTCTTTCTCCAAGAAGTTCTGAGGGGTCTCCAACAAGACCCCCTAGACTAAAGAAAACTCAATCCAAAATCAATAAAGAGGCTAAGCAAAGATTTTTGGCAAGACAGTCATTGGAAAAAGAAGATGAAACTAATGTTGAAAACATAAATGGCGCTATTGATCATAATAATGAGACACCGGACAGAGTGAAAAATTCTAAAAATATAAATGATGGATATGAAAAAAGAAATGATGCGGCTAAACATGAAGCTGGTTCTTCATTGAGACGAAGTCGATCTTTGGAACATTTACATGCAGTAGAAATTGAACAATCAAATGGAAAGATAGAATTAACTCCTACAAAGAAACCCCCTCTACCCTTACCAAGAAAGGTGACTCCAGAGCCACCCCCTAGGCGTAGGAGTCGTAGGTTTACTATAGAAAATGTGTACAATCCCAGTCAGAAAATTCCAATACATTCAAATGTTGGTAAAACACTTAGCGTTGATAGTGCTAATAGGACAATAAATGTAGGTGTTGCACCCGAGGAGCCAGAAACTAAGATGGAGGTTACAAATAACAATGATATCATGGCTAAAACATTTAATTCAGATATTGAAACACCTAAGAAAATGCCTCCAAAACCAAAACCAAGGCGTTCAAAGTCATTAGAAAATTTATTTGAGTCTTGCTCGTTTGAAGAAGATCAATCAATTGAAATGTCTCCGATATCACGGAAAAATCGGTCCCAATCTGTTGACAGATATTTAGGGGATGCACCAGTATTTGTGGCACCTCCACCACCTCCTTTGTCAGAGTTAAGAGAACCCTCTGAAACTACAAACCAAAATAATAAATCCACAGAACCTGCAAGAAATGTTGCCCATGTACGACTCTCGGGAGGGGATGTGTTCTTTTCAAAGGGATCTGTTGATAGTTTGGGATCTGGGAAATCTGGGGCTGGTACTGATCATTCAGAGGATGAAACTGTCAAGATGGAATTGAGAATTACCCACAGTCCCTCCCCCAAACGTGTCCCTCTTAGACCTGCCCCACCACCCCCATCTGCTAAGTATATCAATAGAGACAAAGAGTATGACGCTTCGGGATATTTACAGCCTATTGTGCATGATGATTTATCAGTCAACACTAAAAATGGCACTTATTCCTATGCAGATGTGCCACGTGAAGATGATGATGATGTGTTTCACCCAAGATCCCGGAGCCTCTCTTTGGATAGCATACAAAGTAAAGGGAGTCATATATATGAAAGTGTTGGTTCTAAAGGAAGCACTCTCACACGCTCTAATGAAGGACTGACTGAAGTTGAAGGGTCCTCCTCTAAACACAATACCCTCACTAGAAATAAATCCTATGATCTTGCACTTGATGATGACACATATAGCTCAATACAAATTGCTACTAGCTCAGATGATGAATCTTCTGCTTATGTAAATCAAAATGTACCAAGTCCAGCTAGAATACCGCCTAATCCACCTCCCCGTAATAGGCTGCCAAAAGACAGACTTGAGGCAGGCCTTAGTTGCTTGCTAGATACTCCGGAGCCTTTAAGTGCAGTTAAATCAAACACTATGAAATCAGATAAATCTGACGATTATATATATCCAGAGAACTTCAATCCTGAAACAGACTCAGATGATGATAACGTATATTCTCCAGTAGACTTTTCAAAGATCAATTCAGCCGTTTCATCTCCCTCATCACAGCGCCCTCTATCACAATGCAGCTCAACCAGCTCTGGGAGTACCAGTACGTACTTTGATATGTCTAATATCAGTAATATCAGCCACAATACAAGTAATGCATCTAGTATGATGTCTGAAATGGCACCACATCATTCTGATACGGACACTGACACCGATGAGCCAAATGAAGAAGTAAGTAAAAATCTTTTGTTGCATAATCTGAATATTTTTATCACATTGAATAAAGTTCTACCACTGAATTCATGATAGGGCTTCTTGCCCATCATGGGTTTAGGTTCATTACTGTAATACTACAGTACCTAGTTATTTGTATCATGTTATGTTCAAAATGCTGAGTGATTTGAGAAAATATGTTTTGTTTGGTGTGATTCGCAATTCTGAGGAGTTGCTGTTTTTCTATACTAATTAAGTATTAGTAGATGAATATAAAATGATAGAATATCTGTTGATTCCATAAAGAATTTGTCTAGAAAGAAAAAATCCCCAAATGTGGGCTATGTAAAATTATATTTAGCTGCAATTTATCAATTCTCTTTCTTTCCAATTCTGGTTTATTGATCCTTTGTGGCATACTGAAAAACAGAAAATAAAAGCATTCTTATGCCTGGGGTTATTTCTACAAAATATGAAGTAAATATTCCTACAATGTAAAATATCTTTGAAACCTTTAAGTAGATTGACCATGAAAATTATTCTGTTTCAGATCAACAAGGAGAAAAGAGAAAAGAAGATTAAGAATATTGCAACGGAAATTATGTCATCCGAGAAAGTCTTTGTTGATGTCCTGCATTTAATAAATATTGTGAGTACACATCTAAGTACATAGATAAATGGCTGAGATGTACAAAAGACAAATTCATGCAGATACAGGGTGTTCCAGAACTTACGAGAATTTTTGAGGGAGATATAAAGCATGGGTGATTTTTCTTCAAATTTGGAACATTTATGAAACCTACATTGAGAAATGAATATCAAAGAATTCTCATGAGCTCCTGGACATCCTGTATCTGAATTTGAGAACAATTTAAAAATTTCTTATCATATTCATATGTACAGTAATTCAAAGTCAAGTCAATCTCACCAATAAACAACCTTCTTGATCTGCAAAAATGGGCATTTGTTTTTAAAGATATTAATAGTTGCAGAATTCATCATTTCAACTTGCAAAAAATTGGAAGAAGAGAAATATGAAGGGACAATGATATGAATAACAAGTAGTGTCATATAGTCTCATAGCAAATGTTTATATGTACAAATGTACTTCTAGGACTTTCGCAGGGCTGTAGCTGATGGCTGCTCAGAATTTGACCAGGAGATTATACCTAGCAGTATGCTGAATCAGATACTCAACAACCTTCCTTCTCTTTACAATTTCAACAAGACCCTCTCTCTTGATCTCAATAGCCGCATTGATAAATGGTATGTACAGATGTTAAATGTTTTGTTTTAAGTGTTGTTTTCCCACTGCAAGTGGTGACATATTGTTGTAGTCTCCAACTTTTTTGTTGATGTTGTATGACATACATTTTACATTTGGTGTCCAGCGTTCAGTCTGTAACAAATGGGAGGCGAGATGGTGACATTATGCATATTAATGCCTTGTATCAATTTATTATTGATTAGGAGCAACAAACACTAGAGAATTTAGAGTAAATGTTTATGGATGTTGCAATTTTACAGTATGCCTTTGCTCATATTCCATGTATGCCTATTGTCTAAACAGTTGGGCTTCATTTTTAATAAAATTAGGATTGTACACTCTATCCTCTAGCTACCAATTTAAACAAGAACATTTCAGTTTTTAGAAAGACTTAAAAATATACATGGAAAAATAAAAGTAGAGCTGTAAATCAAATCTGAAATAGAAAAAGAGGAAGTGAATACTGGTATTGCATTTCTTTCACAGAAGATAGAATTGTTTAAAATAAACTGTCTCGTAAATGGAATTATGAGTCAATGAATTTGTATACTATATCTAGTAGGTTTTATTGACCTGGTTGCAAAGGAGAATTTATTTCATAATGCTTCTCATCCTCCTAAGCAGGTGTCCAGAATTCGTACCTCCTTCCCCCTGCTATAACCAATTTGGAAGCGCCCGATTAAACTGAATTACGTGATCTAATTATGCGCAATGACTTATGCATGATTTCTGTTGCAGTGTTGCGACAGCCAATCAGATTGCGAGTTCTTAATCGGGGAAATGCTAACTGCTTATTGCAGGGGGTAAAAAGAAAGAATATATTCTGGATTTTGAAGCCCTGTGATCGGAGGATGAATGCCTCTTCGTCTATTGAAATATGATTCTTACTTTACATTAACAGGGAAAGCAATCCAAAGGTAGCTGATATATTTGTGACGATGGGCCCATTCCTGAAACTTTATACCTCTTATATTCGAGACTATGAGAAGACAACAACATTACTGGAGACTACGAAAGAAACTTATCCACATTTTGCAACAGTAGTGAAAAACTTTGAGGTAAGTCCATCAGTTGTGTGGGTTGAAAGAAACAGATATGTTAATGCTATGTTAAATCTACAGCAATTTTTACACAAGTAACGATTTATGCAGTCTCGGAGATACTGAACTGTATTATAATAATTAAAACATTATTTTTGATCTGACCATAAATCTGCATGTTTATAAATTATTGCATGATATTTTCATGGTATCCCTTATTATGTTTTTTTAGTTCAGCCCTTAATGTCCTCATCCTAATTCTTGTATTTTTGTCAAGTTCTTAATGTGCTATTTTAGCCCAACCCTAAATGTGCTCATCCTTATTCTTGTATTTTTTGTCAAGCCCTAAATGTACTCACCCTAATATGTTATTTTTTCATGTGTTGACTGAAATTCTTGTTATTTTTAGTCAAGCCCTAAATGTGCTCACCTGGCTATAAATCATTATATGCTGAAGCCAATTCAGAGGATACCACAGTACAAGCTCCTACTTAGTGACTACCTGAAACACTTACCAGAGGACCATCCTGATTATGATGATACTATAAGTGAGTCCATGTACAGTACAAATGTATTTATCAGAGGACCATCGTGTCATCATCATCTTGCTTCATTGCAAGACAAATTGTCATCGAAATATTCAGTTCAAATTTAATCAAAATCAAAATGGCAACTACTGAGTAATATCATTGTGAAATCTTTTACATGAAATAAATTGTACATAATTGTAAATATTAATTTTAAATGATTGACAATAATTGTAGTTTCGAAGGGAATTTAAATTCAGAATTTCAATAGTACATGTACATGTTTCATAATTTGTATGTTCCAGAAGCCTTAGAGATTGTCACTGAAGTAGCTAATCATGCAAATGATGGGATGAAACAAGGGGTAAGTAAGACTTATATCCCCTTAGTAAGACCTAATGTATTATATGAGCTATCAAGACTTAGAGTATATACTTTATTTAGCATGGTGTTTTTAAAGGGAATGAGTTCAAAGAACAGTCATTCTTGGTAGGATCTTGAGTCTAAATGTACAATGTCTTACTTCAAGTCTCTGAACCTCCTCCCCCCCCCCCCCCTTTATTTACTTCACCACAATTTGAATGAAAGGTGTCTCGTAGAGGGGTAAGAAGGGCTTGAATCTAGGCCATGTACTATGTTATTTTTGTGTCTGTGTTAGGCCTTCATTGTGAAGTAAAGACAGCATACATGATCAATATGGAATTTAAGTTGAGGTTATAGCCTGTCAGCTGGCCATGTACTAAACCTTAAGTTGTCCATTGCAGGAGCATTTCCAAAAGTTACTAGAGATCCAGAATAGCATAGAGGGCCAGTTTGAGGTGATCAAACCAGGCAGGCTACTTATAAAGCAGGGTGTTTTGCTCAAACTATCAAGGAAGGAGATGCAACAGAGGAATTTCTTTCTGGTGCGTAGCATAATTTACATTGAAGTCCATATGTCTTGTTTTGCTGGTTCAACTTGAAGTGATGATTTAAAATAAGAAATCCTCAAGTGACACATATATAGAAAACACATATAGTATTTGTTTGTCACATTATATTCTCTTTAAATTAGATTGTGTAAATTAGAGACCACATCACAGGGGTAATGAGGGTTTGTACAAAGGGTTCAAATAAGACAAGCTTAGCAGTTTGGCTTGCAATGATGTTTTATATGATCCTGAGTTTAGTAAGTTTAGTTTATTGTTCTTTTCATTATTTCTTTCATAAAATGAATTACAGCAGGACACAAAGCATATATTGTAGTAAATCCTTATAACTTTATTGGGTGATATTTTATGATTATGATAAACCAATGTATTTATTTAAAGAAAACACAGAATGAACTCCTGTGCTAAGGGCTGATGTGAAAAAGTCAGTCCAACTCAGTGGGGATCGAACCCAAACCCCTCGCTTACAAGGCAATTGCTCTACCACTGAGCTATGGAACCGACTGGCTTTTTCACATCAACATTGCATATATAACATTGCAGCCATGTCTTACATGCCCAGTTTCCTGGACCCCATATAAGTTACCTGTCTTTTCAGGTTGTCAATCATTCTATTCATGATGTCACGAGGTTCAGTTATAAATCCTTATAACTTTATTTGATGATATTTTGTGATTATGATAAACCAATGTATTTAAAACACTTCCAGACAACCTTGATATAAAAACATCGCATGATTTAACCAAGACAGTTGGGAAAAATCAGCCACTTTATATTTGAAAATCATGTATGCTGTTTTTAACCCATGGCTCCTAATTTCAGTTCAATGATGTTCTTCTATACACAACTCCTCTGACTATGGGCTACAAGTTAAACCATGTGCTTCCACTGACTGGAATGAAGGTTAGCAAACCAGCCCAGGAAGACTTCGCCAATGAGTTCAGCATCTACAGCACACAGCGATCATTTAGCATATCTGCAAGGTAGTACACGTTAATTAACTATCTCCCCAACATTCAGCTGAGAATTCTCCCCGGAATTCTCGTACCCAATGGTATATTTGGATATCACATTTTACCCAAAATTGGTAACAATTTGAAATTAGTTTATAATAATACATCTGAAAATGCTCATTGGCATCTTTGTAGTTTGAAATCTAATCTTAGAAATTTTATTGAGCAAACTTATATCCCCTAGCCATGAATAATTTTGGTTGTGTGACAATTCAACCTATGCCATAACATATGCGTATGTGCTTCTTCCCCTGAGTTTGAATCAATGAAAGGAAGTCTTTAAAAGCACCCTTTAATACGAAAATAATCCTTCCCAAAACTGCGTAAGATGACCCCTGACCTCATTATATATTCATATTTATGTTTCAGTTCCCCGCAAGAGCGAGATGAGTGGCTAAGTGCCTTGACAGGTGCAATACAGAATGTTATGGTCAATAGACGTAGCTTTAGAAGGTCCAGCAAAAGGTTACAGGTATGGTAGCATGTGTGTGAGTTGAATACACTATTGAACACACTCAGAGAATGAGACAGATGTTCAATCTAGTCTACAAAGGGTCCATTTGAAAATGTTTAACATTATTATATCATTGTCATATTCCCCACTCCCTCATTGCTCTACTCATTACCCTTGACTTAAAAATAAGAAGATGTATTCAATGGCCATACCTGTGATGTCTGAAAAAAGTTGATTCTAGGGAAGGGGTGTATTCACGAGGTGTGTCATTTTGTCCAGTGTAAATCTGAAAGTGATATGGAAAATCTAATCATTCTTGTTCTTAAAAAGACATTCCTGACAGTAAGAGTGGTGAATATAACAGTAAATAATAAAACAGATATTTCATACTATTTTCAGTGAATACCTGTTGCACTTTCAATAATTTCGCAAGGTGTATTCCCTTGACCCTTCGGCTTGGAGAACACACCTTGCTAGAATCATTGAAAGATGAACATGTATTCACCTCAACAGTATGAAATATCTGTACAATATTGAATATGCAGTTGAATTTCAAATTGTTTCGTTTATTTTTTTTTCATTTTATAATACAATGACAGACATTTGACTGCCTACAGTGCTTGTTGTTATATGCCAGTTCTGTTAATATTAAATTAAAATATGTATTAACACCAAGCATTGTGAAAGTGACATATTGGAAAATACAATGCATTTGCCCATTATGCCATAAGTAATGGGTGTATTAGTGCTTATATCTAATTTACATTATGATGTATATGTAATATATTCTCTTACCTTTACCATAGGACCAGATTGATAAGGTTACAAACAAGCCAGATTTCAAGCTGGGGTCCAGGGCACCTATCTGGATTCCTGATGCCAGGGTGACAATGTGTATGTTATGTACCTCTGAGTTCACAGTCACCTGGAGGAGACATCATTGTAGAGCCTGTGGCAAGGTTTGTACTAAGCTTACTTAGTGAGCGAATGAACCGAATCTACAAACCCTTTCCATCTTAGATTCAGTTTTAACACACATTTGTACTTACTGCATATTTAAAGACTGTGCAGTTTGAAAATAGTATTTTTGAACCAAAGACTTTTTCATGTCTTAAAAAATGTTTCAGACATTTTTCCAAAAAGTTGACTTTTGAAATTTTTTAATCATTATTGGTTTCAATTAAAAGTAAAGTTTTAAAATGCATCAGTACTATTTTTGTTCCATGGGTCAATTTCTTGCTCATTTTTTGAATTACGTTTCTTAATTTTTACAGTACAAATAGCTTAGGATATATTCTGTGCAGTGGTATTAGACACTGTTTATAACTAGATTCTTGTTTTGGAATAACAAACGTGTGTGTTTTACTCTTAGGTAACATGTGGTAGCTGTTCTGACAACAAGGCTCCTCTTCTATACCTCAAGTACAAGGCTGTAAGAGTTTGTGATGAGTGCTTTGAATCTCTTTCTAAGGGTAAGCGTACATAACACATGTACTGTCAGGCCTGTAGCTGGGGGAGGGGGTTTTATGGGGTTTAAGCTAACCCCCCTTGGCCAAAAAATCTTTCAAAATCATGCAGTTTTTCACCTTTTTTAGTACCTTTTCAAGTGATTTAAAGGCCAAAGTTTCAAATGTGAACCCCACCTGGAATTATTTAAAAAGTGAACACTCCCTTGGCCAAACCTGACTGTACTGTATGGTATATTTCATCCATATAAGAAAAAAATCTAAAACCTTGGCAAAATGAGTAAAAATAATAGAAAACCTATTGCAGAATGAGATAATCCTAAGAAATATTTTGAGTATCATGATATCAAATGTATTTGACGAATAAATCTGTGTACAGTATATTCATATTTCATTCAATAACATTTATATTAAATGTACAGAATTTGAAGAGAAGGGCCCAGAAGATACGTCAGGTATTGAAGAGGAGGAAGAACTTCCAAGTGAAGCTACACTATCAAAAACGTCCATCAAATCAAGGTTCCGAACATTTAACCTAAAAGACAAAGGCAACTGGAAGATATTGGCAAAGAAAAAGCCTTCCGTGCTTAGAGAGGTATTATTTCATATAATACTCATTTTTGTACAGTAATATGAGGGATGAGACCTGACTTCATTTTAAACTCATTGTTGGGTTACCCACCCTTAGTCTGCCTACCCAATTTTTTCTGAATATATGTACATGTTCCAGAAAAGAAATTACATTACTTATCATATTACCTGATAATTTGTTTGATATAATAATCTTACATAAATTAGTACCTTTGTCACAAATATGTTTGAATAATTGAATTAATATATCTGAATGTAAAACATTATTTGAAATAAGTAAGTACATTGTATAATACCTTACAGGTGCATGCTAACGATAGTGGTGCCACAATGAGTGGCTATCTAAAGGTGTTCAAGGCAAAGGGAAAATGGAAAAAGATGTGGTACGTTCTAAAGGATAAGGTCATGTACACGTACAAGGCTAGCGAAGACACTGCTGCAATGGAGAGTCTTCCACTTCTAGGCTTTCAAGTCAACACCTTCGACAAGGTAATTGTCTATATATAAAAAAATCACAAGAATTTTTTTATTGTGATCTTTTCAAATATTTTGATATGCTAACAGATGTGAGTTGCAACGTAATCTATTAAATGATATTGTGAGTTCAAGACACATGAGCTTCTTGCATTTCTTCAATATGGATTACATAAGTTGATTTTTTGCTTAGGGCTGATGTGAAAAAATGAAGTACAGTATGTCGTCTATTGATGTACTTTTCTCTTTGTAGTATCATGATGGTGTTCAGCCTAACCTTGTCTTTGAACTGAAGCATAACAACAAGTCATATCACATCTTTAAGACTGAGAGTCCACCTGCGAGGGACAAGTATGTATCATATACCTTTATAGATTTGAATTCCTTTTTAGATATATAGAAAGAATTAATAAAAGAAATGAAAGAATTACTAATTTTTATGTAACTTTGGTATATTTTATGAATGAAGTAAAACAAAAATTATTTACCCCAATACTTTATCAAATTGATTAGGAATATAGTCAAACTTAAGCAATAACAGGTGTTCCACTTGGTAATTTTTGATGTATATTATATGGATTTGAGTAATAAGATAGTTCACCAACTTTTTTGTGTATGTTGTTTGGCAGTTGGCTTTTGGCATTTAGTGGTTGGCATCTGTAACCAATGGCAGGTCGTGACATTTTGCATGTTCATGCCTTATTGTTTATTCTTAATAATGTGTTTTGATTTTTATCCAGGTGGCTTAAAGCGATGCAAGAAGCAGTAGAAATCGGTCAGAAATAATATTAATGATACTTCACCAAATGAACATGGGACCAAAACAGAGAAACAATGTGTATCAAAGCAAACCATAGATCCAGTTAGCAACTCCAGGGTATCTGAACTGACTAAAGCCAAAAGCTGGTAGCTCAAGTGATTATCAATAAAACTTATAATTCTCCTTACTGACCTGCGAGTAAAACTCCCTTAAACTCTACCAACAACAGTAGGGTGAGCACTGACCACCTACTTAATAGTTTACACTGTACTACACTGTATAAAAGTAAACACAGTAGGTGAACTCCGTTGTAACTCACATGGCAGTAAAGTAGTTCAATTTTAGTTGACCTGTATCCAAGATGAAAACATTCATAGAAAGTTTGGTGGAGATCGGTATCTTCAGTTCTTGATTAAACTAGTCATAAAACCATTATACTAAATAATAGACTAGTATAGAGGGTTAACCACCAATATAAAATTATTATAAGTTCAATAATTGTTTCTGTAATAATGAGGATCCTTGATTATCAACCTTCTTAAAAATTATGGCAAATATTGAACATTTTAAAATGTTTCATTTCGTGATCAGTATATAATAGTCTAGAACTGGAGATAGGTTGAGTAGAATAGGTCCTCACCAAAGGGCGTCAAAGTTGAGATATTTCCGAAGTCTATAAATACCAATTGTCAGATGCTACCCTTGTAATATAGGAAGTTGTCCACAAGTTTGACCACCTGGGTACTTTTAGATTTATATGTGTATTGAATTATATTTTTATATAGATCACAGGGTTACAATTGAAACAGAATATAGTGTCACAAGTTCAACCAGAACTCTCATTTTTTGATTCACTTTTTCATAACTGCTGAGCCATGTGTGATTTTAAAGTAATAAATCTATTTAACTATGTGTCATATTTACATTATTGTATAGCATTTTGTACTTCAAATATTGTTGTATTTCTGGTCACACAACACTAAATTTATAGTATAATGTAGAGAAATATTGAAACAATCAGGAGAAACATTTAAGAGCCTGTATTTTGGGACCAGATCAAAACATCATTGCATATCAATACAAAAAGTTCATTGTATTCTTACTTTACCCCCCCCCCCCTTCCTATATTTGTCATTGATTTCCTTAAGGGTAGATAATTATTATCTTCAACCTAGCAGAATTGGACTTTTGCCCCCTCCCATCATCAACAACATTTACTTCACATTGATATATTCAAAACTAAATAAAACTAAAATGTATAGTGCAATATTATGAATATAAAAGATATATAGTCTTGCATCAAATGTCCTTATATTATATTATTTCGTATTTCACACCCCACCCACTTCCCTTCCTCATATGCCAATGAGAGGGAGTTTTAGGCACTTGATGCAAAACTATATGTGAAGCATTTTAAATGCATTGGAATTCTGGTGCATCGAATATATTGTATTTATATCATTTTATATATATATATACATGTGTATTTGTGTTACAGTGCACAAGTGTAATTGAAACTGTAATATTAAAATATTACATGTATATAGAATTTTGAATGTGTGTAACGTAATAATAATGGGATAGCTTAACATGAATATGTTTTGACGCATCCCAAATATATATATAAACATACAGGGTGCTTCAAAACAAATTATAGCAAGACAAAACCTGAAATAAATCTGTGAATGATGAAGAAATGTTTTTAAACTTTGGTCATTTGATAGACAAATTAATTATCATGAATATCTTAAAGTTTCATTGAGTAACTCTATTTGGTTTTAAAAGATACAATTTCCACATTTGGAACTGCATTCAGCTCTGATGGAAATCATTTAGAGTACATAAATGTTAAATTTCTCCATAAGTAATTTACAAATTCTCTTTATCACGTGCAAAGTTCAGCTTTTTGATGAAGGAAAAAAGAGTTATTTCATTTGGGTACAATTATCTTTGGGACACCCTGTATATTATTAATATTCAAATTTTGAACAAGCATTGATCATGGTCATGTGCATTGAACCAAGGATTTATTTAATACCAGGGGCTTAGTATGTGCACCGAACGAAACAAAATGAACTCTGGGGCTTAGTATGGTCCTTATTACACTAGTGGACTAAATTGGTTGATAAACAGTAACGGTAAAAAGCTAAATACCAAATACATTAAATTTGCGAACGAGGCATGTTACTGGTATTATGTTCACCCTTGATTTAACCATATATTTTGATCTCAAACATTGGTCTGTAAATATTTTAAAACAATGAAAATGTGATATAGATGTTGAATGCTAGTTTCAGTCTGAATAGAAAATTCAATGTTTTTAGTTCAGTAGTTACATGTGTTTTGTAATGTACAATTAAAAATGTTGAACGAGAATTTAATCTTTCATAAAATAGTTGGGTAAATGAATTTAGGCATAAAATGAGTTGTTTTTATCTCAAATTGTATTTTTAAAAGAGGTATTTTGATTATTTAATATTTGTAAGAAGGTTGGATGACGAATGTCATACCTCCATCTTGAATGCAAACCTTGAGCATTCAGCATTCATTTTCTGAGTTGTTCATTTTAAAGGTATCACTCTACTAAATATATTTTGTATGTTTTGTTACATTGTGTTATTGCTTGAACTAACTTGTCGTTCAAATGGCACAATCTCTTTGTCACAATAAACAATGTGACATCGGTGGCATAACAAAAAGGTGCATGATGGCTGGAAGGAAATAAATGAAAGAATAGATAGGCCATGTGACATATTTTTTAATGTATTCATCTGGAAATGGCTATTTTCTAATCCATATTTATTTGCCAATTTGTCTTAAACATGTTAAATGTTGTTTTTTATTTTAAAATATTTATTGTCTAGATTTAAAATTACATACACTGCTAACACTGTTAGCTTCATATCATTTGAATTGCTGTAACAGCATAGTAAATACATGGTCTTTACTATAGATATATAAGGTTAAATATAGACTATAGTAAAGATTTGACAAATCACTGACTTTTTTCTTCAGGTCGGTGATGTAAAAAGCTTCATGCCTAATTTCCAGCACAATGCAATTAAGTTTAGAGGTCACATAGAAAATAGCTCAAAAGTGGGTAATTATTTTGTAATGTACTTCAGACTGTACTAGTTGTATAATTAGTTATAGAAGTATTTGAAACATTTTCTTCTGGGTTATCTGTCTATTAAAGGCTAACCTTTAAAATGTCATTATCAAATAAACTATGTAAAAATCTATATTTGTAAATATAATAACAGTCATATACTGTAAACATATTGATTTGTTTTGTGTGCCTTGCTTGTTTTTTCCAAAACTTCTCTGGTCAAACTTTTTTTTAAGATTTACCATTTTCGCTTTTTGTATTTTTTAAAAAATAAAGTTGAAATAAAAATCGTTATTATCCTTTTTGAAATGTTATTTTGTTTTCAGGAAATACTTAAGCTTTATTTTTTTGCATTTCTAGACAAACGATAAATAAAAACCTTAGTTACCTGGTCTTTTTTGTAAAAGTATCTCCATGGGTTTTACGGATGTGAACAGAAATAGTAGTATATTTAAATGGTACAAATATGCAGTTTACACATTGTAAAACCTTAATTACCGGGGCACTTTAGCTTTTCGTTCAGCTTCCTTCAATCTCTCTCATGAAAACAAGGCCCTATTTTATTTATCCAGTTCCGACCAATCAGAACCTTTATATTTTTTATTTCAACCAATCAGATCCATTACATTCATAATTTTACTCCCATACTTTTTCTTCCAAACTCTCCACTTTCACGTCATTTCTCATACAGTATACATCTACATGTACTTTCAGTTTTGAATGATTTTAGCCTTATTGGGGCCAAATTGTCAAATGTGAACCCCCCCTAGAAATTTTTGAAAACTGACCCCCCCCCCCCCCTTTGGGGCCGCTTAGCAAATCCTGGCTATGGGCCTGCTACTTGAAGAGTTGTTTAAAAGACATGCATGAAGTCTTAATTTATGAACGAAATAATGAAAATAGCAATTGTTTGGAATCATTAAATCAGTGAATAGTGAAGACCTGTCTCAAAAATTATGTTTTGGTAATGGATATGACAATTCCTTATATTATCCTAAATATTAGTAATTTTTTATTCCCGGGGGTATAATCATACATCAAAATTTACACTGAACGAAAATAAAATTAGTGCATTGTGGGAAAGAAAAAAATAAACAAAAATATTTTGATTTTACATGTTTTTGGCTCAATATAGCACGATTGAATTGAAGTTGACAATATGCTTTACATAAAGTAATAGATAAAGCTACCGTATACATCATATTTAAAAATGGAAGTTCTGCAGGTGGTACATGTGGTGCTACGTCGCAAAGTGTTGGAAGAAATTTTGAATCTTCTTGAAAAGAAAATTCAGCCTGTGACTTTCAAATCTAAAGACCATATTTCTCTTCCGACTGGGTCAAAGCAGAAGAAACTGACATTTAAACAACAGGAAGAAGAAATTCATATTGCATTTAGAGGTCAGTATAATCTATACTTCTTACAGCTTTTTCACTTTCCCTTACCCTCCACAGGAGCATGGATGGACCACCATCTGTACTGGCCTTAACCAAACCCGTCTGGCCCAGTTATCTACTCTCCCAGATCTACGAGGTCGGGAGTAGATAACTGGGCCAGACGGGTTTGGTTATACTGGCCTGGGTGAGGTAGGGAAATCTGTATAATATAAAATAAAAGGAAAGTAACCAGGCCAATACCCACCGACTGAAAAATAAAAATATATGTTTTAGTGGTCAAAAATTGCTTGCTAGGGTCTCATTTTGGAGCCTTTAGAGAGATAAATCGTAACTTACTCGAGTCTCTAGCTTACAGCTAGATGTAACTTCATTGATTTCGTATGTAATCTAGGAAAAGTCACACACACGTACCTAGAACTCCTATTTAATAATTCTTATAAATATTTTTAAGAATATTAATCATATTTAAGAAATTCTCCATCTAAAATGTCACTCGACTTTTTTGTGATTATGAGTCAAAGAAAGCATTCTTGAGTTTCAAATTGACTTCTGTGGTAACTTGAAACCATCTTCTAATTTATTCCACTTACCTTTTATTGTTTCTCCAAATATATTCTTTGAAAATCGGATTTTAAGGGTGTTAAGGTATGAGTACCGTAATCCAACACCAAATTCGAAAATTCATAACAATACTTTGCACATATGGCGTTCGTGACCAACTATAAAACGCTTACCCCCCATAGTGTTATATATCAAAATGTACCTGTTCATATAGGGGTTCGATTGATCTACATCAAATTATAGGGAGTCAGGTTACTTTTTGAGATATCAGCGTCCATTTATTGTGACTCGCGTTTGCTACCACTTCCTCAATTCTGATATGATGGGCAAACGCGTAGTAAGCATGCTCACGTCGGAACTATTTTTGACCTACATCGCTATTTTCGTAATTCAAATGAAAGTTGAACTCCTCCTCTTTATTTTGATACCAAATAGTGGCATACTAGGTACCCTAGAAGCCAACTATGGCGTTATTTAGAACAATACCACGAGTTTTTAAATGGACTATATAGGGGTCATACCTTTTGGCGGATGGATATGGAACCTCATACCTTAATGTGTTATGACATCACACTGATTTTTGTCTCTGCAACTTTTTTTGGCAGAAAATATCATTTCTAGTTCAAAAATGCATAAGAACGTCGGAAATGGCTGAATATGTGAAAAATTTATCCATTTAGGCTAGAAAGGGTTAATTTGCCCTACCCCAAATACGTCTAAATATGCTAGTCTAACTTTGCCACTGTGACGTCACAAATCTAACCTGACTATCTCTGAGTTTATTGAAGAAAATGATACGTCTGACAAACAGCTTTCATTCCCTATATGGCACACCTTCTACTAAGAGTTGCATCATTGACTAAATCTAAGACAAAGGCCCTGTGTCCCGAGGATTTTGACTGAAATTTGGCCATTTTCGCCCAAATCTAACTAAATTGCAGTTTCCCTCACACCTGTATTTTGAAATAAATATTGCTACAATGTAGCAATTTAAAAATCACACATACTTACTGTTTCTGTCGACCTGACACGTGTATCTAGCCTGTAAAAATGAAAAATCGCTACATTGTAGCAATTTCACTGAGATATGGGCCCTGAAAATCATGTAATTTTAGCAAAAAATGAAGAAATAACCTGCAATTTTGACGGAATTTCAGAGGGCTTTCTTTCATTCCAGACCCTCCACAGGCCTCTTATGACCATTCTTATACTCACAGAATGGTTGAAAGTGATTTCAAATCATTGTTTGCCCTACGCAGAACGAAAAAAATCGATTCTGTTCTCAAATTCTGCTAGAATATTGGTCTCTGGCCAACTAGCAGACAATTTTAGGCCTCATATTAAGGTATGAGTACCGTAATCCAACACCAAATTCGAAAATTCATAACAATACTTTGCACATATGGCGTTCGTGACCAACTATAAAACGCTTACCCCCCATAGTGTTATATATCAAAATGTACCTGTTCATATAGGGGTTCGATTGATCTACATCAAATTATAGGGAGTCAGGTTACTTTTTGAGATATCAGCGTCCATTTATTGTGACTCGCGTTTGCTACCACTTCCTCAATTCTGATATGATGGGCAAACGCGTAGTAAGCATGCTCACGTCGGAACTATTTTTGACCTACATCGCTATTTTCGTAATTCAAATGAAAGTTGAACTCCTCCTCTTTATTTTGATACCAAATAGTGGCATACTAGGTACCCTAGAAGCCAACTATGGCGTTATTTAGAACAATACCACGAGTTTTTAAATGGACTATATAGGGGTCATACCTTTTGGCGGATGGATATGGAACCTCATACCTTAATCAGGGTAATTCTGTGCCATTTTATCAAAAATCTTGTTGCTATCTAGAAACGAGCAATTGTGATCTTGTTGTTACCTAGGAACGAGCAACTGTGATGTCACGTCACACTCATGTTAATTCTGGAATCACATGGCAGCCATTTTGGAAATTTCAAAAAAGTTCCCAATTAAAAAGGCTAAATGCTGTTAACAAATTGGAAACTATGGCAGAATCAACAAAGGGTTTGTGAAATAATTAGGATATGGTTTCAAAATTATGCACATGACAATATATGACTACTAAATGCAGGCAGGGACTTTTAATTGCCAAAAAGTCGAGTGACATTTTAGATGGAGAAATTTTTAGTTGAAGCGTTGCTTGTCTGGATCAAGATATTTCAAAATTTCTTTTTGGAAAGAACCTCAAAATCAACAGCTCCGCCATTTATACGGCTCACTCAACACAACAATGGAGGCAATCATGACATGAATGTCCTTACATACCATGGTTGGTGTTCGGTAGTTGGTGTATGGAACAGATGTCAGGTGATGACATTTGCATGTTAATGCCTTGTTTGTATTTGTATATCTGTTTTTGTAACAAGGTCAATAAGCAATGCTAATCTGTTTTCAGATTGCAGCTTTGAATGTCTAGAAGAGCAACTGCATGGAGATTTTAGTGACATCACTACAGACAATTTGGAGGATGATCAATCTCAAAGCATAGATGACATCATGAAATATTCATTTGACCCTTTACAAGCAAAATCAACCACTGTTCGATCTATCCAGAGGAAATCTGCAAGAACCTGTTTCACAATAACACGAAAGAGAAAAGCATTTGCGTTATCTAAAAAAGGAAAAAAGCATCCCAAATTTTCAAAGTCAAAATCACATTCCAATTCTCCGAAACAAGATATCAAAAATGAATCACAACTTACAATAAAAAAAGAAGAATCCACAAATAATGATATTGAATTTGGAAACCCTTCAATTCATGACAATGGCGAACAAGATGGTGGCCTTGATATTGAAGAAACAGAAGATCATAAAATGACAGAAAACTGTAACCAAGGTGAAGTATCCTTCAATAACAAAGCAGCAAAATTGCATGAAACTGGGCCGACTGAAGCAAATGACTCTAGTGAGGAAGATGTAGGTAAAAGGAGAGAGAAAATTGTGAAAAGATCAGCACCAGCAAGACAAGCAAAAACTAAAGTGGAAGATTCAACATGTAATGGTGAGTACAATGCTCTGAATTAGTCATGGTGGTTTTCTCTGTTGCCTGTTGACATGTATGTTATCTCGAAATACATCAAAGTATAGTATATAAATGCATTTCTATTATTTTCTTAATAAAAAGTAATTCACCAGCCTTCTAAAAATGACACATATGGCCTTTTGGATTTTGTCTGAATAGGGGACAAAATTTGTCAAAAAGTATGATTTCCAGGGGGAAAAAGAGAAAATGCTGACTTAGCATTATTTCCAGCTGATTATCAAATAGATTAGATATAGATAAAGTTATCTTGCAAATGATTGAAATGAAAAATGTTCCAGAATCTGTATTACAAAGTGAAGTGCTCGTATATCCAGGGACTTGTCAAAATTGCATCTACTTATTATTTCAGAGGTTGTGAGGATAAAGTGCAGATTTTGTGAAAAGCAGCTGACTCGAGATGTGATGCTTCAGCACATAGCGCAACATAAGCAGGTAAATATAAATTAATGGTAGAATAAAACTATTACATGTATATTGATATGTCACCACCAGCCACAACAAGTGCATGGTGAAATATCCTGATATTGTTATAGTCTCAAATTTTTTGGTGGTGACATTTTGCGTGTTAATGCCTTGGTTTTTTTGCAGTTACTCCATGTTAAATAAGTGTAGTTACTTTATTTCAATTTGAGTGTAGTATGAGGGCACTGTGCTCTCTTGTAAATGAGTTTGATATTGGAATACTTTTAGATAGTGTATTATCTTTAATCTTTATTTCAGGTTCCAGCTATAGAGAGGAAACAGTTTAAAGATTTCATAAAGCATGAGGCTGTCAAACTACCTTGTGATGACTGTGGTATGGTGTTTAGCACCAAGAGCTCTCTTAGAATGCACATTTCAAGATTCCATTCAGGTTAGATTGACCTCACACTGAAAAGGAGTTGCAATGCATCAAGCCCATGTAGCTCCTCTCCTTTGTTCAGAAATCATGTAGTTGAGGGGGTTGAGGGAGGAGCTCAGAGACTTGATGCAACAAACTTCAAATCATATATTTACAAAATCATATATCATACAGATAACCTTCCAACCAATCGAAAATTGAAGAATATCTTGTATCAAATCGAGAATTATAAAGATACTTTACACTTGGTTGAAAGTCAAATTAATGTTAAAAAACCATTGACTCTCAGTTGAGAATTTGAAATATCAAAAAGAGCATGGGCTTTCACCTTCTTGTAACTCTGTGAAAAGGGGCCGTTGCTTGTTTATGCAAAAATATATACATCTTGACAAACAATTTTAGGCAATACAGACAAGAAAATCAAAGAGCGTAAAATCCAGTGTAGGATATGTAACAGCTGGCAGATCTCCCACTATGCGTGTTACAGGCATGTCAGAGAGTACCATAAGGACCATGCTGACTGCAAACCCTTCAAGGATCACCTATTACAGTTTCTCAAGGGCACATGTGACATGTGTGGTAAAACATGCAACATTCTGCCAAACCATAAGAAGGTATCTATCAATATACAGATATATATGCAGTCAGTCAAATATAGTGACAATACTTTTTTAATGCAAAGTTTCAATTGGGGATTTGGGGACCATAAAATAACCAAACTTGCTGTTATTTTCGCCATTTATAGGTGTGACATCACACTATATAGATACCCGGATGATTGAATAGAGCACGGTTGTGCATCTATGGAAAATTAGAGATCCTCTATATTGGCTATGCTGCATTCTGATGGGTTGTGAAATTCAACTAGAGCACGGTCATATTTGAATGAGTAAAGAGATTCCACTATTAGGGTGTTCAGGCCCAACGGTTAAATGTGTAGAATGTTTTATGATAATTGAGTAATTTGTAATGTCTTTTTTTTCAGAATATCTGCAATGCGGAGCAGCGAATACCATGTGAGACATGTGGAGTGATGTTAAAGCGCTACACAATGAGACAACATGTTAAACAGTTCCATCTTAACCCACCTAGTCCCATACAGTGCCCTAAATGTGACAAAACTTTAGCAAACCCAAGCTACTTGAAAAGACATATTGAAGCCATGCACATGGGTGTTAAAACTATAGATTGTGATATTTGCGGCAAGTCGTTCTATAATGCTAGTCAAATGCGAAGTCATCGGGAATACCACAAAACAGAGAAGCCACATTTGTGTAATTACTGTGGTAAAAGTTTTAAAGTAAAAACAGAGCTAGGCCAACATGTGAAAATTATTCATGAGCACAAAAATGAGTTTTCACACTATTGTCCCATATGTGCAAAAGGATTCCATGGAGCAAAAAATATGAAGACACATCTCTATAGTGTACATCACAGAATTCACAGATTTGAGTGTTTCAGGTGTAATATGAAGTATCGCAGTAATAAAGCCCTTGAAGACCATTTACCATCCTGCCCCAAGACTAACAGCGAAGTTGTTGCTAAAGAAAAAGAAAGGCAAATGAAAGAAAACCTGAAAAAAGTGAATGAATATTTGAAGATGACTGACACCTCTAAGAAACCAGACATTAAAACGTTATCTGAGGAAAACAAAGCATCTCCTGAAAAAACAACTAAAAGAAAGCAGAAACAAAATCGGAAAGATACTGATAAATCAAAACAGAGTAAAACTGAGAAACAACAAGCTTTTCGACAGCCCCCTATTCCAATTGCTATAAAACCCCCTAAATTTCTAAATTCACCAGGAATAGATATTCAATATTTATCAGGTGGATTTAATGAGATTTCAGCTCCTATAGTAACTGGAAGAGATGTCCCAAGTGTACATGAATTATCTCATGCTATACGAGAAAGTGCTTCGCAATCTCTACAAAATATACAGCTGCCTAACCAGATAGCACAATCTCTTGGTTCTGTATCCACGATGACTAAACCGAATACCTCGCATGTTATAAGTAATGGAAATTCAAACTCTATACAACAAGTACATACAATACACGATGCTGCATCTCGAAGCCATGGTAACAACTTTAATCAATGGTTGGAGAATTCTAATCAGTTACAGCCAATACAGTCAGCGGAAATTCAAGAATTTCTCTCGTCAAGTGAAAGTATTACGACATATGTACTGGATAACAACCAATTTGTTAGAGTAGATCAAAGTAATAATATTAGCAACCAGGGTCAAGGTCAGATGAACAACCAAGATCAATTAACCAACCAAGGTCATGGGACTGACCAAGGTCAAATTATAACTCAAGGTCAAATAACCAACCAAAGTCAAGTCTCCAATCAGACCAGTGATACAGCTAATCAACGAAATGTCACAATGATCAGCCAAGTCCAAAATAATTTAATCAATCAAAGTCGAGACAATCAGCTACAGGAAAATCAGATAAACCTTTATAATCACACTCATCCCCTTTTATCAGATTAGCCCCTTAATCCAACTCATCTAAGGCTCAAAACCAAACCCACAGAGCTTCTTGTCAAATAGTTTATATCAAAGTGTTCACTATAGCATGGTTTGCCATATAGACAGCCAATGCTCAATTTGTTTAACAAATTCATTTGGAAAAATAACAACAAATGGTTAGTATCCCGGGAAATTATTTTTTGACAATAGGTGAACAATGGAGGGATATAATTTTAATTCATTGAAATTGTTTTGTCAGTCTGATGAAAACAATTTTAAGGCTTAATTAATCAAAACTTTCATATTTTTCAGAAAATCTTTTTCCTATGATTCATTCATTATCATCCCCAAAGACTATTTGCTTTGCAAGGCATTGCAGTCAATAATCAATATTCGAATATGATATGTGACGTCACAATAGCTGGAACAATTGATTTACTGGTCTATAGTTGTGTTTCTTGTCTATCATATTAGAATCGTAACAAAGACCTCGATTTTATGTCAAAAATCTTGGTCATTATTCCTTTAGTATTGACCACTCTTTAACTAATCATTATTAACAATATACACATTTTTGGTTCAAGAGATGTGGTTAGTCCCTTCAGTATTTCTGTTTGGTTCATAATGACATCATTAATAGGTGACATAATGACATCAGTATAATAGGTGATAGTATAATAGGTGACATAATGACATCAGGTGAATCCCCAATTACAGTTTACAGATAATGTATTCATCAAAATCAACTATTTATTCAATAAGATTGAGAGTTTTGGTGCAGACCTCAGCACAAACATGTACATGTATGTTACCTTACCTACTGTGCTCTATAGAGCTTAAAGTGGTAATTTGCAGCTGTTAAAGTCAGCAGATGTATTCTTTTAAAAGGCGGGTAAGATTATATTTTCTGATTATTGTTTTGTGAAAAATATTAATAAAACATATTCGTACAAGGCCCTTACACAACTAAACAGACAAAAGACCATTAGACCTTTCATCGAAAATCCCACATAACAGACAATAGACTAGTAGACCTTTCATAGAAGTTTAGCAATTTTCCAAGATTCCATCTATTGGGTAATTATTGAGAGATAAAAACCAAGATATCCAAGATTTATGTACAATATTAGCATTGATGATGGTTTCTTTTGATTATAATTAAAATGGGGACAGAATCAAAGCTAGGGTTGAGGTTAAGGTTTTTGATATTATATTATGATTCTCATATAATTCAGAAGTCACAAATTCCATTGTAAACCTGCAATCTAAAATTGAGCCAGGCCACAGGAAAAGGGGTCTTATCACAGATTTTTTCAATATTTTGATTTTTTGTTTATCTTAAAAAGCTCAAAGAGATCTTTCAAATGAGCCATGGCTTATGTCTTAACACTTTTTTCTTGCAGATATATCAAAAGGCAGATTTGAATTTAGCACATTTTCCTCTTAATCTTGAGCACATTTGTCAGTGGTTTCAGTAACTTTTTTTACAAGAGGCAGAAGAGAAATACAAGGGGCGGCATTCAAAATAACCAATTTTACACTCCCGGAAATGCAAATTCTTGTTATTCACTGGTGATCCGCTCGATTACGCTGAACAAAATGTGGGGACGTCGAAGGTACAATTTTTCTTTTTTCCTTATTTCACGCGTTGTAGGCAGAATCCCAGCGTCATTTTTTCTCACAAACTAGTATCAGCACCATATGTTTTAGAAAATGTACATGTTTGCGAAAAAATAGGGCAGAAGACAACAGAATCGTCGATTTAATTCCTCACTCAGTTACATAAACGGTTTGGGTTAAAAGTGCAGATCTGAACTGTTTTTCGAAAAACCGTTTATGTAACTTAAGTGAGGAATTAAATAGACGATTCTGTTGTCTTCTGAACTATTTATTCAAAAATATGTACATTTTCTTAAACATATGATACTGATACACGTTTGTGTAAAAAATGTCGTGGAAATTCTGCCTACAACGTGTGAAATAAGGAAAAAAGAAAAAAATAACCAGCGTAATCGAGTGAAACACCAGAGTGTTATTATAGCGTCAGCGCACTGAAAGTGGATGAATAGACAGGGAATGTCGAAATTAAATTCACATATTCTGATGTGCATTATGCTATTGCGTGGGATCATTGATCAGATGGGTTTGATGTAATCAACTTATTATTGTTCTTGTAAGATTAAAGGCAAAATATACTACATGTCACAAAAGTGCAAGGATGAACAATTCACCTGTGAATATATTTCAGACAATGTATCTCATATACAAGAGTATTGTACAGTCATTCAAAGTTTTGAACATTGAATCCTATCGAGAGGTGATTTAAAAGATTTTACGTATTGTGGGTTTTCCAAAGTCATTTCCATGTGTGATATTGTCAATCTAATTGACCACAAGACACGGGCTACACAAAATAACACCTTGAACTGTGGAATGACTAGGGCAACTCATAGAATGCTATTTTTACCTTTTATATTCTTATAAAAATAAATTATGATTTACTCTTCCACAGGTTTCATTTTACAAATTCAAATGCACTTCCCGGGTTGAACACTCAATATAGAATGCAACCTGTGTGAATAGAATGCAACCTGTGTGTATACAATGTACGGCGTTCAATAAGTACTGATAAAATGATTTGACTTTTTTAATCTTCCCCCTAAAACTAAAGACAATATTTGGCTTCTGACAACCGGCGAGTTATAGAAAACAAACGGCGATTTTGGACTCTCGCCCCCTGCTATTGAAAGCCCAGCTCTGTAGCACAATTTTAATTTTTGTGATAAGACCGGTTTTCCTATGGCCAGGCTCAATTATTATATGTCACCATCCCAAGTGGCGACATATTGTTGTAGTCTCCAACTTTTCTGAGCCCATCAAGATGGGTGGTGTTCAGCGGTTGGTGTTCAGCAGTTTGTATTTTGCATCTGTGACAAATGACAGGTGGTGACATTTTGTTAATGCCTTGTTCTGTTTATTGTGGAGATATTTATCATATTTAAAATAATTCATGAATGATGTTTTAACCAAGTGAGACAGATTTTGGTCAAAATAACTTCAATGTAATAATGAAATGCAAATTGATTGTTCATATACTTTTTTATTTACATGAATGTACACTGAAATAAATAATATATAGCAATATAATTGCCATTTACATGTATATAAGTATGTACAATGTACATAAACTTTACCCCTACAGAAAATCATATATGTCCATCATTCAGTATTAGGGAAATGATGACATTAACGTTTTATGTCAGGGTAAAATGATAAGCTTTAATAATAAATATAACTTTCCTTTACACTTTACAATCTACCAATGCATATATCTAAACTTATTTATTTACATGAAATAAATACAATATGAACATTTAACAGATTGTTAGTTCAGATTGTTTTACTTCTCAACATTGCAACTTTTAAAAACTGGGTTTTCACAAAATGAACTTTTAAACTAATGATGTATTCTTAGTTTAATAGGTCAAAGATATTTTTTAAAAATGAATACAATTGCAATAATAAAAGGGCTGCCTATGGTTTTGGCAAAGAGTGCAATCTGACGCTATATTGGCTCAAATGAGAATACTGTTCTCTCTTTGCATGTTTGTGGAGAATGTCGAAGACAAAATTGGAAGTAGCTTCAGTTAAAGCTTTCCATACATTGTACAGTACTAAACGAGATTACATATTGCACTATCCTGAACACATACCACCGGTCCAAAAATTAAAAACTAATATCTTCTGTTACTCTCTACAATATACTAAATATTACACAAAAGGGTTAACAAACATCGATACTCATCAGTCATCACACCTTCCTATTTCACTTGAAAAATATGTCATGGTTTATCAAAATGGTTGACAAACACTACAGAGTTTATTTTATTTTATACAAATCACAGTCATGTGACCACTAAATATCTCTAATCACAGTCATGTGAGAACAATGTGTCTCTAATCAGTCAAGTGAGAAGTCGTGTGACTTCTACCTGGCTCTAATCACAGTCATGTGTCCACCACCTGGCTCTAAACACTGTCATGTGACTACTACCTGGCTTTCATCATAGTCGTGTGTCCACTACACAATCACAAGGACCATTTCTATCTCTAACAATACATTATATAATATTAACATAATAATGAACAATTTAGAGGTATCAATACCTGTAGAACGCTAGTATATATAAGCAACAAGTTAAAATACATGTAATATCAAATGTAAAGTGACAGAGAAAGGCGATTCCTATATACTATAAATTGTAGACTATAAACAGGCCTGCCTGTCATGAAGTTTCACTAAACAGGCCTTGAAACTAACTTTGCCCTATGCCAAAAAGCTACCTTGCCAGTTTTCAGATATTTATACTGCTATTGCTATATGCTTCCAGGTATCCAGGTAAGCTTCCATCAGATATGTGACTATTAATATCACAAATATAATGTTGTTTTAAAAACTGAACATTGTTAATTAGAATATAATGGATTTTCTTGGGGAATAAAAGAGAACAGTTGGCAATATCATGAGACTTTCCAAGACAGGTAGCACAAATCACTACCATTGACAAGTATAGGTAGTTATTTCTCGAGTCTGTTAGCAAATAACTACTTTGGCAATGCAAGTTTCAAGCCCTGTTAAAAGTACTCCATATGTTCTTCGTTGCTGTGTTTCTCATTGAGTTGTTCTAAGTGTTTCTCATTGAGTTACTCTATGTGGTCCTCATTGAGTTACTGATGGAGTATGTCATTGTGTTGAGTCCATATGACATTCCCCTTTGAGTCACTCTGTGTTAAAGGTAATTTAAATTATACTTCTCATACAATTTTTCAGGTGCATCATTATCTAAATCTATTTGTTTGTGATCATGGGTGTTTTAATTGTTCATCTTATGAAAAATATGAAAACATGTGAGCAAATGTACATTTAACTGCATCGCACAAACTGAAGTTCTTGAAAAAATGGTGTTGTGTTTGACTTAAATATACTACTCAGGGTGCACCATTAGTACCACACAGGGACCTGAAGTCGGTTAATTTCAATCCTAGCCAGCTGATTGTATCAGCTGCACCGTGAATAGAAAATGAACACAATTATCAGTAATTCAATTGGAACCAGGATCTCAGTATTCCTTATGACACAACCTGTAGATTCTCTCTGTTTTCTGGAGCCTTTAAATATCCCCTTATGTTTAAAATAGCTTTGACATATCACATGTGTGTTCTACAAATCCTGGGCTTCTATCTATCCAGTAGATTCCCCGCCTCTCACAAGAGAGGAATGGCGTGTTTGTGGAGGGGTGGGGATTGTTATCGTTCACACTCCATCATTTCTAAAGTATGTCCATAAAAGTCATGTTCAGCCTCCGGCAGTTTGCCCCAAACTAGCACCTCTTCACCTGTAAACAGAATAAATTATATTGATAATATGGTAATGAGCAAAACTCAGATCAAATAAATTTTATTTGGGACCCATTCCAAACTTGTGAAGTGCTAGGCGCACAGACATGTATTTTAATTTTTTGAAACCTTTTGTTAGAGACAAAAGTAGTATATGAAGTAAAATATGTGTCATGTGACTTCAGATTACTGAAATGTGAATACTATTCGCTTTCAATTTTGGGTATCTCAATAGCGATGTTTAGAACCCTTCTAAATGCTAACTAAATTTAGGCAGATTGAACTTTAAAACATATGCTTGTAATAATTACATGAATAAATAATACTTCTATGATTAATTAGAATGAGACTGTACCAGCAACATCAAGTCTGTCTAGGCTGGAAACAGCTGAACTGTGGAACATCCACAGATGGCCATTGTTACAGGAAGAAAGGCATGGTTTACAAGGCTGCGAAACGTGGTAGCCACATACATTACCACTAGAAAGAAATTAGAAGAGTCATATAATAGTAAATGGGTCACAGTATATGAATGTTAAAAAAAATTAATAAAAATCTAAGTCTACTAGAATACATCTAATATGTAGATCTATACAGGCTGCCGTGATCTCCTCAGAATTTCTCAAGTGGGTGCAAGATTCTCATTTTCAAAATTCAGACCAAATTTGGTCAAAATATGCCAATTTTTCATGATTTTTCTCATTTTCAAGTGGGTACAAATGGATTTTCAGGTTGGTGCAAGCCTATTTTCAAATCTCAGGTGGGTGCTGCGCCCACTTGTTTTAATGCTGGGGAGATCACTGGAGTGTTTGGGATGATAGTAGGAGGTTGTCTTAGTCACTTACACATAATAATGATCCAAGTTTTTTACATACAGTGTATATGGAACTTACCATAGAATACAAGCAACATCTTTAATTTTGCAGTCACATTTGCCGGTACTATATGGAGGGCCGACCAAATCAACAGCACTGAAACCAATCAGACAAATAATAAGCATACAATGAACAAGTAATGAACTTATTGAAAATTGTTGCTTTGACATGTCTAAATCATTTAAGTCAAAAGAAAACCATGCCATAATTAAAGCCACATCAAAGTCGGACTCGGAGTGTTAGCGTTTTGAGATTGAGAAATATCAAACACATCTTAAATTTTCGTAAAAAGATCTTTCTTTTCATATCCTCAAAGTAAGTTGAAGTTATCATAATTGAAATTGTCAGTAGTTTTCCCCGAATATCTGTGCAATGATAGGCCCATATTTCCCCAACAATATTTTGGGTGATGCAACTTTATAGATTAGGAAGTAAGAAAACACCTCTGCAGTTTGAGAATAGCCGAAACTTTATGGACTAATGGAGAATGAATCTGGCATAATATTATGATATCAATTTTAGTAAAAAATATGTGAATAGTACCGAAAGTTACCAGCTTTTTGAAAAATATTGGAAGGTACAATTACTGCTCTTCAAGACCAGAATGAGGAATGAATATGGCAGATGATCTGATCTTGAAGCAAGATGATCTGACTACACCATGATAGATGTCAATGGTTGAAGAAATAGGTAATTACTAATTAGGTACAGAAAAATCTGTCTTAGTGAACACCTCTCACTAGAGAACACCTGTGTTTAGTGAACAATCCTTCTCAGCACACAGAGTTCTGTATAAAATTGCCTCTCTGTAGTGAACACCTACAGTGAAAACATTTTTGTGACTCCATGGGTGTTCACTGTACACACGTTTCTTATTACCCCCTGCAATAAACAGTTAGCATTTCCCCAATTAAGAACTCGCAATCTGATTGGCTGTCGCAACACTGCGACAGAAATCATGTAGAAGTCATTGCGCATAATAAGATCCCGTGATTCAGTTTAATCCGGTACTTCCAAATTGGTTAAAGCAGGGGGGAAGAAGGAGGTACGGATTCTAGACACCTGCTTAGAAGGATGATCAGAAGGCTGTGTGGTGCACCGATCAATTTTAAAAAGATGTGTAGGTGTTGACAATCCTTGATTTTCTAAAATTCAAATTCGCCTAACATAATTTTTTTTATGGTGCAGTTGGTTTCGATAGTCTACGAAAGATTGCCCCCATGGTATCAAAGAAAACTGTATGGTATTCGCACCTGGGTCCATGAATTGGTATGATTCGCAATCCGATCCGGATAAATTTCATCATGGTAATGAATAATGATGCATCTTGGAATTTATCCTGACATCTTTTGGATAGATTTTATCCTAATATCAATCCACCTTACTCACTTCGAGAGCCATGTTAGATTTTGAAACTTATATAAAAATCCACATAGCTCTTTCGCAGGAAGTAAAATCCACCTACATCACGCTCGGTGATCGGAAGAAATGAATGGAGGGGGAGACTGAGCATTTTAGGTACCAACAATTTGTCTCAAAAATACGACAAATTGCTAAATGAATAGGCGCAGTACACAGGGAAATGTGTTAGGTCTTCTAGGATTTTTTTGAACAGATGGACTTCTAAGATAAAAGATCTATTAAAAAGGGGTCACCTCCTATATCAGATTTATAAAAAAATAACCTACAGGTGCATCTATGCATCTAATTTGTAAGGCTGTGTTTTTAAAAATTGAGGTTGACAGTTGCGTTATTCCCTTCCCCCTCCCCTCTAACTAGCCTTCTGCCACGTTGGTCTCTGAAGTGAAATTGTATACATACCCACTAGGAGGACTATCTGTTGAGTATAGCTCAACTTTTGTATCAGCTAATAGTATCGCTTTCATCCCTCTTGAGCATACGACATTCCCACAAGAGATGCATTCCAACTCGACAACTCGCTTCTTCTGAAATGTTGGGTGCATACCTTTGCGTGGCATTTTATCGATTATCTTGATGATCTGTCCCTTCAAACCTGGTTAAAGTATGCACTGTTATGTTGAAAAAATGTTTGTACTTTATTTCAATACGTCCTACGTGTAATTACGTTGTTTGAAATAAAAATTTGGTAAAATTCTTTCCGAAATTTGAGGAAATCCTTTAAAAATGGCGTTGTCTGAGCAAGTGCTTTTATAACAGACGTTCCCTGATTGGTTGTTTTGATTGTAAGCTCAAATCTGATTGGTTTAAATTGGTAAACAATTATGAAAATAGCCCTTTAAATATGACGTCATGGGTCACGTGAAGGGGGCTCCTGATACTCCCAGAGTTCACAGCGCCACAGCCATGTTTGTTGATTAATTTCATGTCGAAAGTTGACCTAAGTTTTCTTTCTGTTGATAAGCTTTAAATCATTGTATCCCGCTCTAAATGTCGTTCACTGGAAGTCTTTGAATCGTCATGTCGTCGGACAAACGCTTCAGGAAGGAGAAAGAGATCGTTTTGGAGTTTGACAACAAAGTGAAGGGTGAGTTGAGTTTTAAAAATCTTGAAAATGAAAATATTTTTTGAAAACTGCAGATTTTATAGTCATTTGGTTCCTGGTTCAAATAAAACTTGTAATGATCTCATCTTAGAAGCCTGAAACATGTTGTTACGATTAAAACATACTTGCTCATAGATGTTTCGATTCTTTATTTGATTCACTTGTAATCGTCGCCATACTAAGATTTAAATCCAGTTGAATGTCAAATGAAGATTCCCGTTTGAATTAGCCTAGATAGCAGACCTTTCAACTATCATCTGATCATCCTCCAAACGCAGGGTTCCAAGATCTAGGATATCTTCCTAAGTATGAATGGATTATGTACACCTGCTATGAAGAATGTCAATTGCTGTAACTCAAAGAAGGTGAAGATGCCCTAGTCTTTTGATAGATGTTGATGTTATTCATTACACCTAAGTACAAATTCTGGCTTACATCCCTGGGTAATTTGTCAGTCCTGTTCCTAGGTCTCTGAGAAGATGGAAAGGATAGCTCAGTAGATAGTTGGACTGACAACGGATCGTGTCATCTATAAGTACCATAACTGGTCCCACTGGGGACCTCATTTCATAAAGGAACTCATATGTTCCTCCCAGATGAGTGAAAGGCTTTGTACAAGGGGAATGAGAGCATAGACATGAAACCATTATTGGTTCAAGTCTATGATATTTGAGAGAACATATGTACATGTTTCAGGGTGTATGAATAAATTACAGACTTTTGGTTCACTATATCCTTTACTGTCACTTTAAACTGGGGAAATTATTTCCATGTTGATCTGAGTGGAAGATCATCTCCAGTTTATTTCACTGACTGTTTCCCTGTCTTGAGTCGGAGAGAGTCAAAGAGGTTGGCAACACAAGTACTCAAGGACAAATCTGTGCCATTTCAGATGAATTGTCACCATTTTGTGTGATTTTCCTTTTTTAAAACAGTGCAAGGTTTATCACAGAATCTTTTTTAGCTATATCTGTATCAAATAAGAAAAAGATTAAGCACCTCTCAGGTGCTGTACATGTGTTATCTAGGAATAAAGATCTTGAATATTGATATTTATGTTCAACAACATCCATTTTGGTATTTTTGGAAATCAGGATCCATCCAAATTGGTATTTTTATTCGTCCAAATTGGTATTTTTAAACCCCACAGTTCATATCAGTAGTCTTCAGGTTTCAGATTTCCTTTTCAAAAAATGTTAATAATATAAAATTTCACAATAAAATATGAGTAACGCGGCTCAAAGTTTACCTGATTTACAATGTATTCTGATATATTACTCAAATACTATAGTAAACTTGTAGTTTGAATGTTTATTAAAAGAATTTTTTGTTTGTTCAGTATCGCTGTTTAAACATTCTTCATAATGGATAAGTCCATGATTTGATAATAGGCAGCATTCAGTATACATCTGATTATGTGACAGTTACTTATGTTTTATTCTAATACACCTTGTGAACTATGTAGAATACCTGACCTTCTTCAAGGAGTCAAATGAATCAGAGATAGGTATAGAAAAATTTATGTATGTACTGACTGTGTCAAAAAATAACATTAACCATTAACTAGTAAGTGATTGGAATATGCTGGCTTATAGCATTTACCAGTCAGTAAAATCTATCTTGAAACTTCAGGGCACTACACTCTGCTTTATGCTTGGATTAAATGGCTTTCAAAATTACTGGAAAAGTCATGATTTTTGGGCAACTTTATCCTATTTTTCTTCTCTCATACTAAGTAAAAAAGCTAACCCCTTACCAAATTTCTGGTTAGAGCGTTAAAAGGTTTCAATCTGGAATTTACTACATAGGATAGCATTCACATTTCTAAATTGTCACGTTGTGAGTTTTGGACATAATATATAAAATAGTCTGGTAAAACTTTTATACTAGCTTCCTTGGGGGTTTCACTTGATCCTGTTACTTGTCTGGGAGTTACCCTGATCTTATTAGGTTTCATACTGTACTCTGACTAGGATCTCTTATTTTAAAGTTTAGCATTCAGCCAATGAAACAATGCTACAGAACTATGTTGATGTACTCATAAAGAGAAGGATTTGAGGGTTTTTGGGATTCAATTGGCATGGTGTATTTTATCAATTATGCAGAGTGAGTCAAATTATACTATTTTTGCAAAGGGTATATGGGAGAAGGAGTTCTCCTAAAGTTACATTAATACAAATGGTATCTGGGAAAAGGAGTCCTCCTGAAGTACATAGATAATGTAGATACATGTACTTCATATGCTCAATGTGGATAACACTTGACACCAAGAGGTCTTTACATCAAGGGTCTGGTTGTCTTTTTTTCATCATATTTTTCACTGCTATGGGTATGAGAGAGGAGTGGAATTGACAAATTACTTAGTGTAATACATATATTCCCATTTCAACACTGCAAAGTAACAGTATTTTGACAACCTATAATTTGGAAGTCCCAAGGGCAGATCATGACAATATTGGGAGAACTACATTACATGGATATGATGTTTATCATTCTCTATGATAAAGGTTATTTTATGCATCGTTTTTATGTAGCTGTTTTTTACTGCTCTGCACCAAAAGTCTGACATCATTCGCTGATGTATCCTGGCATTACATTATACAGTTATATGTAGAGTTATGTGAAATGCAGAGCCAGGCCAAATGTCAGCCTATGTATTACACTGCAAAACAGATCTGGTTCTTTAGTTCAGTTTCAACATCTATCAGTTATGTAGTTTTACACCAACCACTCTCTGGCAAACTGATTGGGAGGTTGTTCATCAGGTCTTTCACCTGCTTTCATTTTAATGAAATACAGTTTGAATAAAATTGAATAGTATGAAGTCATCAGAAAATGTTTATTCGTTGGAACACCAATATGTGTAGTATATACCATTGATAAAAGTTTTCTATTTTACTTGCCTCAATATTCCCATTTTCTGGTCTCCTTTATATTGATTATGTTATTGTCCTGTTGAAAGTGAATTGGGATGAAGATAGAATTGATTCTTCATGATGTATTAGTTAAGGTCTAGTGAATAGCTAACTATTCACAAGGGCAAAATAGGACTATGTTGAAAGTTCATGTCAGGCCGTTTTTCATTTAATAGTTTTCTGGTTGCTACATTGAAATATGAAAAGCCTAAATAGTTTGTGTTTTTGTAAATACTGTGTAATGTTTCTCCTGAATGCGTTTGAATGTCTCAGATATTTACCTACGTAGTTGTTTAGTTGTATGTTTTGAGCATAAGTTTTGGATCCTTGAATTATTCAAGAGGTAGCTAATTAAGGAAATGCTCACGAATCGTCCTGAATACAAAATGCTATCTGAAAACTCATTTGACGTTAATGTTGAAAAATTAAAGTTTAGCATGTGAAATAATTGTTGAAGTAAAAAGGAGCCTTAAGGGTAAAATGTTAGATCTTGGGTCACCTCGCCTTTTCAGAAAAATTCTCCGAGCTATATTTTTTCAGAGAAAAAGTGTTTTTGCCTTGGGCTAGATAGTAGGTGTGAAAAAATATTGGGGCTTTTTATTACTATAGGATAATGAAATATTGTAAGTCTAAAAAATACAGAATTGAGAGTAAAAAGGTTCCCCTAAAGATCTCATGGTCTGCGAAATCATGTTTGAATACTTTAATTGTATACATGAAAGATGGAATTAGAAAAGTTCCGCAACCACTTTGTTTTGAGATAATCAACAGTAAACAGTAAAGTCAAAATAAAACCATAGATTAATAGAACTTCAAGGATGTACTATATATGTTTATGTCACCCCTTATGTAAAAACTCTCCCATTGAGCGGATGAGATCAGATTCTTGGTTATTATCAGCTTATATCAGTACTTATACTGTAAATACTGGAATTGATTTTGATACAAGTGTAATATGTAAGAGTAATGTTCAAATTAATATAACTTTCAAGTTGGGAAGTAAATATTGCTCTCTACTTATTTATCAATACCAGCTAATGTTGCTAAGGTATTCACATATTTGCTGTTATTTTCACAGGTTCGATATGTATAGTTCAAGAGGTAAATTGCTTGAGATATCTGTTGGCCAGTCTGCTCTGTTTAAGATAGGGGATACAGTGAAACCTGTCACATGGGATAAATTCTAATAGATATAGTGTATATTATAGAGTGTGTCTGATTGCCTTGAAGTCAATAGAGAAATAATTAGTAAGAGGAAAGAGGATCACCACTTAGCATGTAGAGTAGCTTTGAATTGAATTTCAAGGCCCTTTTCCTTCCTGATTAGTCCCTTTTAAGATTTTGTCAAGCTTGTTACCGAGCCACCTTATAAACAAGCTCGTATCTGTGCAGACTTGTAGATTTGTATGCAGTACTAACTGTAGGTTTGTATGTTATGGACTGAGTATCATACATGAGCTTAATGCAAGACTTCACAGTAGGTAGAGGTGATTGTCTACTAAGGAAGGGTTCACTGTATTTACATCTGGAGAACTTGTTATCTTGGATAGGCTTGAGTTGCTTGATGAATCACCTTAATAATCTCAGATATTTCATATTATCTCTACATTGAGCATGACCTCTTGGACAACACCATTGCCACATTTACCTGTAATGTAAGTACATGTCTAGAGTGATCTAGAGCGCTGTACAAGACAAGCTAGGCACTGTGCCGAAACCATGAGGTCATGAGTTGGAGATGGGTGACTTGCTTGTGTTTATTGCTTGACTAGCTTGTGTTTATTCATGAACATATATGTATGTAGACTTATTAAAAATAAAATTATGCATTGTAGTGCTGCAAGAATGTGAAAACAGTATCTATATCCTTCAACAAGAACGTGAGGAACCTGTTCAATCTTATGACTATACATACAGCACTTCTCCTTCATGTCTGATAGAATGTTGCATTCAATGAATCGTGGCAGTTGAACCATCTCTGGCGCCACACATCTTAGCATCCCCTATAGACATGCCTGATTGCTTGTAGTATAGCATCTTTAGGTTTCAACATGGCTTTGCAAGAAT